CCTAGTTTACAGACAGTAGGGCTAGGATGGGTAACTCAGGTACCTGGGTACTCGGGTCGGGTGGGTCCTGAGTAGGACCCGGGAACCCACAAGACTACCCGGACCCCTGGTAAGTCACATGATATACTGTTTGATGACAAAAACTCACTCTAGCTCAGTGGTTACACAAGTCCCTAATGTTCTTTCTGACGATGCACACATTCCTTTTGACTTGTATATGCTTGAGTAAAGATGAAGCTTCAGTCAACTTCTGTGTACACATGATCTGGGCCCACTTGCACAAAGCGATCTTAGCGCTAAGATGATCTTAACTCACATACTTTAACATAGGCTTACAATAGTCTTAGCGCTAATATCGTTTTGTGCAAGTGGGCCCTGATCATTAGATTCATGTATCTAAAATAGTTTTTGCCAGGGCTGCGATAAAACAATTCTCAGACATCTTGTTCACAACTCTTGATACCTTCAGTGGATTCTAAATACGTTTTGCCAGGGCTATGCTAAAAATGGTCCCAATCGGACATTATGAGACATCTCCTGAGACCTACAGTGGGTACCCGGGTTGGGTCGGGTTATTGGGGGCTGGGTGCCCGGATAGTAAATTTGGACTCTTCCCAGCCCTAACAGACAGGTAGGTTATTGTTGTCTCCATCCCAGCACCTAACAACTGCAGTGAAGGGGTCATTAAACCCACACACTACATTATGCAGCCTAACCTTTACTGCCATTGTAATCCAGTCAGATTGACAGGCTGGTGACACCGAGCCACACAGTGAAGATCGCTCACTGTGAAATTATGCCCCGCTAGCTAAACTACAATTACAAACACTGGTTAGCATGTGGATAGCAAAGGCAAGTTTCTGAAATGGTTAAGCATGTTTAAGGCAATTTGTTCTTCTGGGTTTGTTCTGTTCAAAGGTGTTTTCCTTGGTTGTTTGTTGTTTAACGCCGCGCTCAGCAACATTCCAGCTGTATGACGGCGAACTGTAAATAATCGAGTCTGGACCAGACAATCCAGTGATTGCGGTAGGAGCATCGATTTACGCAAATGGGATACGATGACATGCATTAACCAAGTCAGCGAGCCTGACCACCCGATCCCGTTAGTCGCCTTTTACGACAAGCACAGTCGCCTTTGGTTGCTGAAGACATGGTCGTTTAGAGATGTATTTAGAGTTTCAAGGCCCAAAGACTGTTATATTACAAGATACGGAACACATAGGAATGATTTCAAAGTCAAGTTAAAAGGTTCAGCAATAAACTGTTAGATCATTTTAATATTAGAATGGCAACCGGAGTTTCACATTAACGAGTGATTGAGTTTTATTCTGCTTTGCATTTCCACGGTTTGTACATACCAAAAGCTTATGAAGCTCGTTTCAAGAATTTATTTATTGCATAAACAGGCATTGCTCTTTCTGCTTCACTTCTAAAGAAATCATACACATTCAACATCAACTGTTTAACATCTGCTGAGTCGCGCATCTTGTCATTGAATGAACATGGTCACTGTGTAGCATGTGCAGACCGTGCTTGCGCTGTTCCTTCCACGGTTTGTCCCCCTACGTGTCATGTACACATTTCTATACAAAATTACATGATAGTTTCTTAAAGAACTTGATCCGTCATGGGTCTTAAATTAAACAAAATTCAGATTTTGTTGAGTACAGGGTATTCATGGTCAAGTACCGTATTGATGTTTCATACACTTTTCTGGATTTCGAGTTATTTTGCAATTCATCGTTCTCATTTGGAGTCAAACGGACTGTAGTTGCTGAAGATCAATTCTAACCCGGATCTTTACAGGTTTACTAATTCAGACACCACCTCTGTATACAACATAGGGGCGCGGAAAATCAATGTCTGACTTGCCCAACTCATTACACGAGATCGCCAGACGAGTAAAAACATCAGTTGCCATTGCCCACGGACTATCTTAGAATATAGAAGTCCTTCAGTCAATTTGGATAAAATATTCATAACAAGTACTTTCATTCATAACAAGTACTAAAAATAGCTTTAAAATATAGCAACAATTTGCTGTATATTTCATCAAGGACTGTGACATAACTTGTTTATACACCGGTAAGGGTTGATAAACACAAACATGATCGGCAGCAGCTGCATGAACAGATTCTGAATGAGTACCGACATGAACAGCAACACCAGGGATTAATCAGGCTTGATTATCTGCTGAAACAGATTTCATTGGGCAAAAAGGCAAAAAAGGAGTAAAAATTACAAGAATGGATCACTGAAAATCAGTGATGACAGCAGTTCCCATACAATGTACTTAAAAAAATTTAACGTCTCTTTGAACATGTTGAAAGGTTTTGTATCACATCACATTGTGCGGGAGGAAGATAAACGTTTACCATCCCGGTGAAACCTATGGGTTATTACTGCTGAAACTTCAAGATCTTACGCAGCAATTCTGTTCATAATCAAGTCTGGACCAGAATTTTAGAGATTGACATGAGCATCAATCCCACAATAACAAGAGTCTGACCACCTGCCTGTAAGCATAGGTTGCCGGGAACATATATTCTTAACAGGAATCACAAGACAGACATGACCTGTATCATAATGTTTATTCGGTAGGAAACCCAAGTCTGAGCATGCTGAGAGTGTATTTTACTTCAGTCATAGTTTTGAGTACAACGTACTGTGAGTTGGAATGTTGTGTCAAGGAAATATTTTTGGGTATTTCCAGTTTCACAAATAACCCTACCTGCAGAACCTGACCCCCAACCTTTTTTATTGCTTTTCTCATGTTATCCACAACTTGGTATCGTCTGTATTTTAATTATGCCACATTTGTCATGCTTCACTAGTACATAGTCATTATCACCTGAACACCGCACGTTTCAGAACAAAACACATGACGTCACACCAGACATCACAGTGGTCGTGTTGTAAACATTCCAACAAAACAACGATCCCACCGGACATCATGATCCTTCATTATGCGACCGCCTCCGTGGTCTAGTGGTAGAGCGTCCGCCCTGACAGTTGAAGGTTCGTGGGTTTGATCCCCGACCGCGTCATACCAAAAGACGTTAAAAGATGGTACTTCTTGTTACCCTGTCTGTTGCTAGGCATTAAGGGGCTACAACAAGGACTAGTCGGCTCAGAGTCCATATACTGTGTCTGAGTGGGGTATTCATGTTAAACTGCGGCATGGTATCTCAATGGGCTAGCACTATAAATCAGCTTCAGTTCCCGCTAGTACAAGCAGCCACACACAACACATGCATGCCATCAGTATATAAGTGCAATAACCTTGGACCTCACCTCATTATCATCTGAAAGCAGACTTTTTAGGACATGCTGCAAATTAGAGTTTTTTCAAAGGAAAAAAACTGGAGAAAAAAAGAAAAACATGACCTACCTCAGACTTTAGAAAAAATCATTTTTGTAAAGGCTTGTCCCGAGGACAACCTTATTTCACGAGTCCTGAAAGTGTGCAGCTAGACCTGCTTCCTTCTAAATGACTTATCACAGCATTATTAATTGTCAGCCAGCAGACAAGCATGAATTTCGAAGGCCGCTACCTGCCCCATTATGGGATGGGCCAAAACCGGAAAGACAGATTTGTTTCTTGTCCTAAAAACAGAGACAGCATCATCTCCAAATATTTCCCCATAAGGCTCTTCATTGGTTAGGAAAAACTATTCATCATCCACTTGCTATAAATAGACATTACTTTCAATTCCTTGGATAATTCAAGATGATGAAACTGTAAAAGCCGCAGGCTATTGTAGCAAAAACAATGACCACTGGATTCCCTATCTATCGTCTTGAATGTAGATGGACAGATAACAAGCCTGGTGTGCATCGCTTATCTATACAATACATCAGATGTGTCTAATCAACCTATTCAGTAAGATAGAATAACCATTAACATCTAATTAACTGTTACAGTGTCATATTATGTGCTCGTCTCACTCCAGTCTGTACAACACTTACAGTATTATGTTAATACGAAAACATATTACTCACTCTCGGTGACTAACAGTTGTATTGATTTTCTTATAGTTTATTGTCAACTTAGCTCAATAATGCATGGCCAATCCTATAGCTACATAACTCCGCTGATGACGAACCATTAACAAACACTATTTCTTATAACAACAATGTACACAAGAAAACGTCCATACTTTCTGAGAACCCATACCTACACAATAGCTAATTATATATATGATATAAAACATATTATCCATTATGACAAATATATTATTTTTTAAAGTGAAATAGGTGATGTACGATAGGCACTTTTGAGACAAAACATCTTATAGGAAGGGCCAATGAATACCTGAAAGGAGGGGCGCTAGAAGACGGGGACATTCATAAAACTGACAAAGAGCGACTATCCTCTGTTGTTTCGGCCATTTGGGGTCTTGGGGAAAAGGTCTCAACGGATGGTATTTCTTTTAAAAGGCAAATATGTCACCTGTTCAAAAAACTTGTCAGACACCATATATCTTGACCCAAATTCTTTATGTGGGACATTTTCCATGTGAATGTCCTTTCGAAGAGACACTGTACTAAGTGCGGGACAGGGGTACATCTTGCTGTTGGTAGTGTCATCAGGTCCATATCGTGATTCAGTTAGACGATTCAGTTGAATTGTAATGATTCATTATGTTAATTCATCCACTGAATCTTCGATACAGGTAACACAGAAGATGGAATTTGATATTCCACTGCAACACATTATCATGGCTGCTGACTGGGTATTCTTAAATGATTTCAGTCTCGACTTCGTTTAATAAACAAAACACATTATCAACCTATATGCAATGGCCCAAAGCTCGTGGCGCCGGAGAAAGGCACTGCATTTAGCTATTCGCCATGCAAAATTCAGGTCTCGATCGACAATGACGATCCTTGCGGGGAGTTTACACGGCAAGGTGAAACAGACCATACCCAAGCTCACCCCGACTGTCAAATTGTAGCGTTCGCCATGTTAATACCTGTATCTGCGAGCGTTAACGTACCTGTATCAGTCCAACCAGGACGGTTATCACCAACGGCCCGAACGATGGCCCCATCTTGAATAGACAATAATTCCGTGGACGCGAAATGGAAGCAATAGCACCTGAGATGAAGTGGTGAATACTACTAATATATCCAATATGTCCGTAGCTGACGTCACAGAGGGTTTGTTATAGCACAGGGGATTGGGCAGACAATTGGGTTTGGAATGTCCGAACACTACTTCCCTAGTAACTACTTCTGTATAATGCTTTCAACTGTCGATGGTAGTCCGACAGCATACGAAAGTAACGTACAGTCGAAACGCTCGATAAACTATGAACAGTAATGCAAACGTATTGATTACACTGCAATATGTAATACTGGTGAAATTCCCAATTTGAGAAAATGACATAGGTTTTAGAAACGTCTGGTTATTCAAATGTGACACGCAATAATAATTAGTGTATACCTTAAATAGCCATGTTACAGTGGTTATCGTTTGTATATTGGGGGACCCAAATTGGTCAACGCGTCTCACTGTAATTTGTACCACGGAGTATATTAAATTGTGATAGATAACGTTTATAACATTAACATACAGGAAACTACGTTTATAACGAACTTATTTTTGGCCCCAGACATTTGCTGTGCATATGCTTAAAATATGCTTTTTACGAACTACGGTTATAAGGAACTAAAATTAGTTTATTGTACATCTAAAAATTTTTTTTATTTATCAAGGCTCTATACAATATTGACAAGGAACATTCTGCTTCGGCATTCATCAAGCCCATTGGAGCCCGGGGGTGGGGGTGGGGGTGGGGGTGGGGGTAGGGGTGGGGGTAGGGGTAGGGGTAGGGGTAGGGTGTTCCCACCGATTTGTCTTAATTTCTATTTTTGTATTGTTTGTCAACATATTTTCACAAGGAGAATGTTTACTCACCCCCTTCAACATCCTCGAACATATTTGTGTATTTGCTGGGAGGGAAACCGAATTTAGAATCCATATTATTTTATATACACATGTTTAAATTTTGAAAATCATGCCTTTTAGTCTTGATTTTGTACTTGTCTCTCGTGAAGATTCTGAAAGGGGCATCGATGACCTCACACACACACACACACACACACACACACACACACACACACACACACACACACACACACACACACACACACACACACTGGCCTATTCGTCATTCACTGGATGATTTGTGTTTAATAATAATAGCGAAAGAATGTTTAAAAAAGAAATTGTGTTGTTTTTTTCTTTTCTGTTGAGACAACGCTGTCACTAAAGTCTTGTAACAACCCGGAGAGGGAAGTGTGTGTACTGTTAACGTTACTCGCTCTGTCATATGCGGTTAACCGACTAATCTCACTGTGTACACGAGTCAGGCTGATTTGAGGTGACAACAACAAACAGCTATTATAGATTAAGATACAGGCTGATTTGAGGTGACAACAATAAACAGCTATTATAGATTAAGATACAGGCTGATTTGAGGTGACAACAACAAACAGCTATTATAGATTAAGATACAGGCTGATTTGAGGTGACAACAATAAACAGCTATTATAGATTAAGATACAGGCTGATTTGAGGTGACAACAACAAACAGCTATTATAGATTAAGATACAGGCTGATTTGAGGTGACAACAATAAACAGCTATTATAGATTAAGATACAGGCTGATTTGAGGTGACAACAATAAACAGCTATTATAGATTAAGATACAGGCTGATTTGCGGTGACAACAATAAACAGCTATTATAGATTAAGATACAGGCTGATTTGCGGTGACAACAATAAACAGCTATTATAGATTAAGATACAGGCTGATTTGAGGTGACAACAATAAACAGCTATTATAGATTAAGATACAGGCTGATTTGCGGTGACAACAATAAACAGCTATTATAGATTAAGATACAGGCTGATTTGAGGTGACAACAATAAACAGCTATTATAGATTAAGATACAGGCTGATTTGAGGTGACAACAATAAACAGCTATTGTAGTTTAAGATATGGATAATAAATGTGTGAGAAAGCAGAAAAGAACCTGGCGAGGAAAGAAAATATAATATGTAAATAGTTCATGCATGGCACAGCCTTTTTGTGATGAGCGCGCAAGTCTGCCCCTAGATGGGATAACCAAAACATACTGCATTTCGAATTTTTGATTTCCACTTTCCATTTTTGGGGTCGACAAATTCCGTAAACCAATTGAGAACATGTCTGATTGATGACAGACGCCACATTCACCCCTTAAAATGACAACCATTTGGAGGGTATGTTTCGTTGTCACTCATGGGTGAAAAAAACACATGAATTTTAGTACGTTACGATTACTTTCGAAATAATTACTGCTTCAGCTTCCTTTATTAAACATGGGACCTTCCCGAAACATATATCTGTGTTCATCAGCGCGTGTGGCCATTTTCCTTGGCGAGGTGCCATAACAATCAACCTCAAGGTACGATAAACACTGTCGAGGTACGATGACAATCGTCCCTCTCGAGGTACGCTTACGATCAACGCTGTCGAGACACGCTGACAATATACACTGTCGAGGTACGATGACAATCAACACAGTCGAGACACGCTGACAATCAACCATCTGGAGGTACAATGCCAATCAACACTGTCGAGGTATGCTGACAATCAACCATTTCGAGCTATGCATACAATCAACCATGTCGAGATACGCTGAAAATTAACCATGTCGAAGTACGACAACAAGCAACCATATCGAAAGTACGATGACAAGCAACCATGTCGAAAGTACGATGACAAGCAACCATGTCGAAAGTACGATGACAAGCAACCATGTCGACAGTACGATGACAAACAACCATATCGAAAGTACGATGACAAGCAACCATATCGAAAGTACGATGACAAACAACCATGTCGACTGTACGATGACAAGCAACCATATCGAAAGTACGATGACAAACAACCATGTCGACTGTACGATGACAAGCAACCATGTCGAAAGTACGATGACAAACAACCATGTCGACAGTACGATGACAAGCAACCATGTCGAAAGTACGATGAAAAGGACCGTCCCCATGGTCTAGTGGTAGAACGTCCGCCCGGAGAGCGGAAGGTCCAGGTTCGATCCCCGGCCGCATCATTCCAGAGATTGTACTTGTTGTTACCCTGTCTGGCGCTCGGCATTAAGGAGCTAAAACAAGGACTGGTCGACTCGGAGTCAGTATACTGTGTCTGAGTGGGGTATTCATGTTAAATCTCAGTGACATAGCACTATAAATCGGCATCAGCCCGGACTAGTACAAGCAGCCACACAAACACAAACACATACACGTACATGCACGTCGCTATATAAGTGCAATAATCTTGGACGCGAAGTTCACCTCACGATGACAAGCAACACTGACAGGTAACAATATAAGGCTGGTGTTATTTACTTGTGATCACAACATATTCGACTGGGAAACCATATGAAGCACTTTCACGCCCTTGAGGCCATTCTGACTTCCGAATTCCCATTTTGTTGCCTCTAAAGTGAATGGATTATATTAATCTTCATATTTGGGGTTTTGTTTTCCATGTCATTTTCACTAAGAGAAGTATATTTATTGTGATCGTACGTAATAGGGCTGGGACGAGTCAAAATTTACTGCCCGGGTACCGCCCCGCTATTACCCGCCCCTACCCGGGTACCCGTTATAGGTCTTAGGAGATAGCTACAAACTGTCCGATTGGGAAAAGTTTGACCGTAGTCCTGGCAATATGTATTTAGATACACTTATAAAACGATCTGGTCAAGCATATGCACTGATGTTAACTGCGTGAAGTTTTATCCTTTTTTTTAAAAAAATGCGAACATTAGTGACTTGTAGTGTGACCACAGAGTCTGAGATAAGTGTTATCATTAAACAATATAGCACGTGACTAACCACGGGTCCAGGTAGTCCTGTATGTACCCGGGTCCTGCTCAGTATACCCACCCGGCCCGAGTACCCGAGTTACCCGTCCCAGCCCTAGTACGTATATATACCATGAATCACTCACGACCCCTTGACCTCCGTTACTATGCGGGAATTAGTATGGCTCGTGCCGCTTTTAACAATGTTTCAGCAATATCACGGAGGTGACCACCAGAAATGGGCCTCACACATTGCACCAATGTCGGGAATCGAACCCGGGCCTTCAGTGTAACAAGCGAACGATTTAACCATTGGACTTAACTCCCAAACACCCGCTTCGCGAAAAGAGGGATACTTTTTGTTTTATATTTTAGTATACATGTTGTAAAGTGTTAAATACACGCACGTGATTCACAACAACCGACATTTAGTAAATCATGCAGTCTCAATTCCATGGGGAAGGTTATGATTCTGTAATCTATAATCCTCAGACCAAGTTGGGTTATAACTATAAAAACCGCCCTGACCCTCCACCTCCGTCTTATATTGTTTTATACTACGGATCAAATCAAGAGCGTGATTCCTCACATGTTAATTCGTCCTTCACCAGACGTATTCGGTAAGTGTTATTAGTTGTAGGAAAATACCACCGCGGAAATGCAAAGGCACCAAACATTATGTTGATGTGCGAGGCGTCAGTGTGTCGAATAGTTTCCGATGTAGTTAAAACGGTAAACTTGGATTCAGTCTAGTCATCTTTTCGCAACACTTTCCAACCCCAAAGGCATGTGTGCTATGTGTGCATTTCGAAAATTTGGGGAAAACCGATTTATTCTTCAGCAGATGGCCGAAATAACACCAACCAATCAAAATTATTGTTACAACATGGTGGAATGCTGAAAGAATTAGGGTCGCGCTGTCGCGTCAGTCATCAGTCGATCTAATTATGCTCGTCATGGAAGGATACACATTACACGTCATGATATGTTTTTAAAAAAAATAATCCCAACGAGTACATTCATTAGGTTGTAAAACATACATATTTATTTCCCAAGCTATTATAATATTATCCAGTTTCCTGTTAACCACACTGAAATGATCCTAGCAACACGCACGTTTGTTGAACATATTTCTGTACGTGTGAATACTTTATCAAACATTTCGCAGAAAATACTATTTTTTTCCCCGTGTACACTTTATGTAATGCAACAGTTCATCATGTATGCTATTTTCTTTTAAATACATTCCCAGCAAGACGGCGGTGATAGGATCTATTATGCATGAGTAGCTATTTCTATCGACACCGTTTCTTGGCGAGTCTCCAAATTCGCGAGGAGTTGCGTTTGACAGGTGAGACAACATATTGAGCGTGTGTGCCCCTCCCGTCCCCAGTGTGCGCAGCTGTTTTTGAGACGGTCTGTTTTGATAATGTGCAAATTTAGTGCATGTTAAAATTGAAATGATATCGCAATATGATCTTTGATTTCGTGAACAGCTGCTTGCTTGCAGGTTTGATCTAATATATTACAAACGTCGCTTCGAATATGACTTTTCACGTTGTCGTCACTAGTATTCTGGCGTTCGCTTTACACAGAGACGATATACCGGTATATGGTCTCTGATTAACAGTTTCGTAACATTACACGTGATTTCAAGTTATAAAATACATTTTGTTAAAATTTACTGAAATTGTTCAGTTTTAAACTGTATTAAACTGAAAAACCTGCTTGTGACAAGCAATTTTCGTTTATAAGAGAGAAGTGACAAATCAACTTTGAATTTGCAAAAAGCAAACATATTATTAAATATATAGTTTTTAAGGATAATAGGCTTCTAAGTATTTGTTAAAATAAAATCCATATTGTGGGAATATTTGTAAAAGTTAGCTATGGCCACACTTAGTTAATTTTATGTTTCATGGATTTATTTCAGCTTTTTCACATGAGGTCGGTCAAAATATAAATTAGACTTATTAGCTAGGTCAATCATTTATTTATTTGTATGAAAGTACTTCTGTCGTCGAGTTGAAACTGCAGCTGACTTCTTGAATCACTGATGTAGACATGGATTTTATATGTAACATGTTATATTGTATAAGAAGATCTATTTTACTATGTTTACTATGTTTTGGGAGACATTACATCAAATCTGTTTATGTTTAATTTATTTCTTTTCCAGCTGCTTTTTAGTAGGGGCGGCGGGTCTGTGAAACAAAAAATAAAAAAAGTGTGACTCTTAAGTTGCATAACTTCGTCCAATCCCATTGATTTTTTTTGTCCCAAAAATATGTTTAAAAAAACCAAACTCAAACATTGTAATGGTAAGACTTAGGGCCTTTAATACAGCCAAACTCAAAATTAACCTTAGTTCTTGTGACCCCTCCGAAGCCAACACACTTTTGCAAACAATGCTGAAGTGCATCCCACTGGTATCGAAGATTTCCTCCTGGTTCAGAAGAACCCCCACCCCCTGAATATCACAATGTCAGTCCCTTAGAGGCGACCAAGTCCAACTTGTTAGATTTACACAAAGTGTGCACATCAGTCTTTCGTTTATACCTCATAAAAACAAAATAACGTTGAAGTCAGTTCTTGTTAATAAATAAGTCAATAATAACTGCTTGTTGAATCATTAACTTAAAAAAGACCCTGTAGACAATACTAACTCACCCACTTTCTCACTCCATATGTTCCAAGGAGACAACTGCTGTAGGAAGGTATGGAAAGTGAACACCAGCCCATCGCGGCAGACTCTCCGTCCTCCGAGTTATACGATGAACGAGCAGCCATCAAACCAGCGTTCCACCACGAGTACAGTGAGAGTGGTGGAGGCACCAGTAGACAGGGCAAACAAGGATGGATGGGCTTCTCTGTACCCAAACGCTACGTTCTTGCTTTCATGGCTTTCCTAGGCTTTGGTAAGATTGGTTCCAGGGGGCAATATTTGGAGCATGCTGTGTTTTCAATGTAGAGCGAGGTTTCTTATAAATTTACTGTGCTAAATCCAATTTGGAACCGAATTTCCAAATGCCTTCGCAGCATAACTGAAAAAGGAGTTCTTTTAAATAAATATTAGCTTCCGAGGTGATGCGGTTGTCAAATCATCTGTTCCAATCAGAGGTGGTTATGATGATTTGAAACCTCTGATTTACAAATGAGAATCGAGTTATTTCAAACTCTAAGATAGAAATAAGTATTTGATCCCTGGAAATTTCATTTCAACGCAAATACTCAAGATCACACGTTATATTTTGGTTGTATTTTGGCTGGACTAAAAGGTCTATACATAGTCCAATCAAAATCGCGTAATGAAATCGACATCCGATTCATAAACTGCAGTGCAGATTTCGGTCGATTGCAGGATTTGCAAAGGAAACATGCCGTCAACAGGAATTTTCCAAATCCTTTCAGATTTTTAGTCAAGGTGCTCACATGATTTAAGGCACTTCGTAAGAAAGACCCGTTATATTACGATATAGATCTTGATTATTGATCAGCTCGTCGTCACTAGGCACCGCCATTTTGTTTGAAGCTATTATATGATAGGTTGAATATGATTGGTCCATAGGACTCTTTAGGAGATTTATTGAAGGGACATACAGTGTTCCCGTTTACCGGTAATTACCAGTTTTTTACCGGTAAAATTAGACTTGGACCGGTAATTCATGTGACTGTCAGTCCCTGTGGACCGTCAAATAAAGTACCTTATACATCTTTGTTGTTGAACAAAAACATCAGCGATATTCAGATAAGTACATTTTTCAAATGAAGTCAGCTTGTCTGTTCCCCTTGTCAATTTTAGTGCAAGGAAATAACAGAGGTTGCTTTGAGGTTAAAATATGCATTTTTAGCGACTTAGTGTAAAAATAGTTTCAAAAAGGAGAAATTTGTGACTTGTGTCAATGACGTGTAGATCTAACTAAGTAACTGCAAAGATGACGTCATTGCATTGCATTGAACATGATGTTGGAGGAATTAAAACCAGGTAATTTTCATGCGTTTTTTTATTTTTTGAAAGTTGGCACTGACAAAAATTAGGTTAGACTGGTAATTTTTAGAGTTTCCAGTCCACCAGGCCTGGCAATTTCCAAAGCCAGCAGGAACACTGACATAACTCATAATAACTAACCACTGGTGGCACTACACTTGAGCCAAGAAATTGCAACTTAGTTTGGCAAGGGTTGAAACTGGATTTTTATAGTCACCTTGGTATACATCCACCACTGCAGTAGAGTCCAAGCATGTGTGGTGCTTGCAGTAGAGTCCAAGCATGTGTGGTGCCTGCAGTAGAGTCCAAGCATGTGTGGTGCCTGCAGTAGAGTCCAAGCATGTGTGGTGCCTGCAGTAGAGTCCAAGCATGTGTGGTGCCTGCAGTAGAGTCCAAGCATGTGTGGTGCCTGCAGTAGAGTCCAAGCATGTGTGGTGCCTGCAGTAGAGTCCAAGCATGTGTGGTGCTTGCAGTAGAGTCCAAGCATGTGTGGTGCCTGCAGTAGAGTCCAAGCATGTGTGGTGCCTGCAGTAGAGTCCAAGCATGTGTGGTGCTTGCAGTAGAGTCCAAGCATGTGTGGTGCCTGCAGTAGAGTCCAAGCATGTGTGGTGCCTGCAGTAGAGTCCAAGCATGTGTGGTGCCTGCAGTAGAGTCCAAGCATGTGTGGTGCCTGCAGTAGAGTCCAAGCATGTGTGGTGCCTGCAGTAGAGTCCAAGCATGTGTGGTGCCTGCAGTAGAGTTCAAGCATGTGTGGTGCTTGCAGGAGAGTCCAAGCATGTGTGGTGCCTGCAGTAGAGTCCAAGCATGTGTGGTGCCTGCAGTAGAGTCCAAGCATGTGTGGTGCCTGCAGTAGAGTCCAAGCATGTGTGGTGCCTGCAGTAGAGTCCAAGCATGTGTGGTGCCTGCAGTAGAGTCCAAGCATGTGTGGTGCCTGCAGTAGAGTCCAAGCATGTGTGGTGCCTGCAGTAGAGTCCAAGCATGTGTGGTGCCTGCAGTAGAGTCCAAGCATGTGTGGTGCCTGCAGTAGAGTCCAAGCATGTGTGGTGCCTGCAGTAGAGTCCAAGCATGTGTGGTGCCTGCAGTAGAGTCCAAGCATGTGTGGTGCCTGCAGTAGAGTCCAAGCATGTGTGGTGCCTGCAGTAGAGTCCAAGCATGTGTGGTGCCTGCAGTAGAGTCCAAGCATGTGTGGTGCCTGCAGTAGAGTCCAAGCATGTGTGGTGCCTGCAGTAGAGTCCAAGCATGTGTGGTGCCTGCAGTAGAGTCCAAGCATGTGTGGTGCTTGCAGGAGAGTCCAAGCATGTGTGGTGCCTGCAGTAGAGTCCAAGCATGTGTGGTGCTTGCAGGAGAGTCCAAGCATGTGTGGTGCCTGCAGTAGAGTCCAAGCATGTGTGGTGCCTGCAGTAGAGTCCAAGTATGTGTGGTGCCTGCAGTAGAGTCCAAGCATGTGTGGTGCTTGCAGGAGAGTCCAAGCATGTGTGGTGCCTGCAGTAGAGTCCAAGCATGTGTGGTGCTTGCAGTAGAGTCCAAGCATGTGTGGTGCCTGCAGTAGAGTCCAAGCATGTGTGGTGCCTGCAGTAGAGTCCAAGCATGTGTGGTGCCTGCAGTAGAGTCCAAGCATGTGTGGTGCCTGCAGTAGAGTCCAAGCATGTGTGGTGCTTGCAGGAGAGTCCAAGCATGTGTGGTGCCTGCAGTAGAGTCCAAGCATGTGTGGTGCCTGCAGTAGAGTCCAAGCATGTGTGGTGCTTGCAGTAGAGTCCAAGCATGTGTGGTGCCTGCAGTAGAGTCCAAGCATGTGTGGTGCCGGCAGTAGAGTCCAAGCATGTGTGGTGCCTGCAGTAGAGTTCAAGCATGTGTGGTGCCTGCAGTAGAGTCCAAGCATGTGTGGTGCCTGCAGTAGAGTCCAAGCATGTGTGGTGCCTGCAGTAGAGTCCAAGCATGTGTGGTGCCTGCAGTAGAGTCCAAGCATGTGTGGTGCCTGCAGTAGAGTCCAAGCATGTGTGGTGCCTGCAGTAGAGTCCAAGCATGTGTGGTGCCTGCAGTAGAGTTCAAGCATGTGTGGTGCCTGCAGTAGAGTCCAAGCATGTGTGGTGCTTGCAGTAGAGTCCAAGCATGTGTGGTGCCTGCAGTAGAGTCCAAGCATGTGTGGTGCCTGCAGTAGAGTCCAAGCATGTGTGGTGCCTGCAGTAGAGTCCAAGCATGTGTGGTGCCTGCAGTAGAGTCCAAGCATGTGTGGTGCTTGCAGGAGAGTCCAAGCATGTGTGGTGCCTGCAGTAGAGTCCAAGCATGTGTGGTGCCTGCAGTAGAGTCCAAGCATGTGTGGTGCTTGCAGTAGAGTCCAAGCATGTGTGGTGCCTGCAGTAGAGTCCAAGCATGTGTGGTGCCGGCAGTAGAGTCCAAGCATGTGTGGTGCCTGCAGTAGAGTTCAAGCATGTGTGGTGCCTGCAGTAGAGTCCAAGCATGTGTGGTGCCTGCAGTAGAGTCCAAGCATGTGTGGTGCCTGCAGTAGAGTCCAAGCATGTGTGGTGCCTGCAGTAGAGTCCAAGCATGTGTGGTGCCTGCAGTAGAGTCCAAGCATGTGTGGTGCCTGCAGGAGAGTCCAAGCATGTGTGGTGCCTGCAGTAGAGTCCAAGCATGTGTGGTGCCTGCAGTAGAGTCCAAGCATGTGTGGTGCCGGCAGTAGAGTCCAAGCATGTGTGGTGCCTGCAGTAGAGTCCAAGCATGTGTGGTGCTTGCAGTAGAGTCCAAGCATGTGTGGTGCCTGCAGTAGAGTCCAAGCATGTGTGGTGCCTGCAGTAGAGTCCAAGCATGTGTGGTGCCTGCAGTAGAGTCCAAGCATGTGTGGTGCCTGCAGTAGAGTCCAAGCATGTGTGGTGCCTGCAGTAGAGTCCAAGCATGTGTGGTGCCTGCAGTAGAGTCCAAGCATGTGTGGTGCCTGCAGTAGAGTCCAAGCATGTGTGGTGCCTGCAGTAGAGTCCAAGCATGTGTGGTGCCTGCAGTAGAGTCCAAGCATGTGTGGTGCCTGCAGTAGAGTCCAAGCATGTGTGGTGCCTGCAGTAGAGTCCAAGCATGTGTGGTGCCTGCAGTAGAGTCCAAGCATGTGTGGTGCCTGCAGTAGAGTCCAAGCATGTGTGGTGCCTGCAGTAGAGTCCAAGCATGTGTGGTGCCTGCAGTAGAGTCCAAGCATGTGTGGTGCCTGCAGTAGAGTCCAAGCATGTGTGGTGCCTGCAGTAGAGTCCAAGCATGTGTGGTGCCTGCAGTAGAGTCCAAGCATGTGTGGTGCCTGCAGTAGAGTCCAAGCATGTGTGGTGCCTGCAGTAGAGTCCAAGCATGTGTGGTGCCTGCAGTAGAGTCCAAGCATGTGTGGTGCTTGCAGTAGAGTCCAAGCATGTGTGGTGCCTGCAGTAGAGTCCAAGCATGTGTGGTGCCTGCAGTAGAGTCCAAGCATGTGTGGTGCCTGCAGTAGAGTCCAAGCATGTGTGGTGCCTGCAGTAGAGTCCAAGCATGTGTGGTGCCTGCAGTAGAGTCCAAGCATGTGTGGTGCCTGCAGTAGAGTCCAAGCATGTGTGGTGCCTGCAGTAGAGTCCAAGCATGTGTGGTGCCTGCAGTAGAGTCCAAGCATGTGTGGTGCCTGCAGTAGAGTCCAAGCATGTGTGGTGCCTGCAGTAGAGTCCAAGCATGTGTGGTGCCTGCAGTAGAGTCCAAGCATGTGTTGTGCCTGCAGTAGAGTCCAAGCATGTGTGGTGCCTGCAGTAGAGTCCAAGCATGTGTGGTGCCTGCAGTAGAGTCCAAGCATGTGTGGTGCCTGCAGTAGAGTCCAAGCATGTGTGGTGCCTGCAGTAGAGTCCAAGCATGTGTGGTGCCTGCAGTAGAGTCCAAGCATGTGTTGTGCCTGCAGTAGAGTCCAAGCATGTGTGGTGCCTGCAGTAGAGTCCAAGCATGTGTGGTGCCTGCAGTAGAGTCCAAGCATGTGTGGTGCCTGCAGTAGAGTCCAAGCATGTGTTGTGCCTGCAGTAGAGTCCAAGCATGTGTGGTGCCTGCAGTAGAGTCCAAGCATGTGTGGTGCTTGCAGTAGAGTCCAAGCATGTGTGGTGCCTGCAGTAGAGTCCAAGCATGTGTGGTGCCTGCAGTAGAGTCCAAGCATGTGTGGTGCCTGCAGTAGAGTCCAAGCATGTGTGGTGCCTGCAGTAGAGTCCAAGCATGTGTGGTGCCTGCAGTAGAGTCCAAGCATGTGTGGTGCCTGCAGTAGAGTCCAAGCATGTGTGGTGCCTGCAGTAGAGTCCAAGCATGTGTGGTGCCTGCAGTAGAGTCCAAGCATGTGTGGTGCCTGCAGTAGAGTCCAAGCATGTGTGGTGCCTGCAGTAGAGTCCAAGCATGTGTGGTGCCTGCAGTAGAGTCCAAGCATGTGTGGTGCCTGCAGTAGAGTCCAAGCATGTGTGGTGCCTGCAGTAGAGTCCAAGCATGTGTGGTGCCTGCAGTAGAGTCCAAGCATGTGTGGTGCCTGCAGTAGAGTCCAAGCATGTGTGGTGCCTGCAGTAGAGTCCAAGCATGTGTGGTGCCTGCAGTAGAGTCCAAGCATGTGTGGTGCCTGCAGTAGAGTCCAAGCATGTGTGGTGCCTGCAGTAGAGTCCAAGCATGTGTGGTGCCTGCAGTAGAGTCCAAGCATGTGTGGTGCCTGCAGTAGAGTCCAAGCATGTGTGGTGCCTGCAGTAGAGTCCAAGCATGTGTGGTGCCTGCACATGATCAGTAAATAAACATTTGTAAAGAAATACAGGTATGCACGTTGAAAAGGATTCATTTAGGAGATAAACATGCTGTGTTTTCAATGTAGAGCTAGGTTACCTGTAGATTTAACCCCGCTAAATTGAATTTGGAACCAAACGCGCAGCGTGAGGTTTCAAATGTTAAATTTAGCGGGGTTAAATCTACAGGTAACCTAGTTCTATATTGAAAACACAGTATGTTTATCTCCATTCTACCATGACTAAATAAAACGCAAACTCTTTGGTGCAAGCACTTATACTGAGTGAAGTGGCATGGGTTGAGTCAAGTGTTTTGAGTGGGTTATCGATCTGAATTACGGAATCACCGAACTAAATATGGCGCTGTATATACTCAAGCAGTTTGTTGACACCGTAATACTTCACTCGAACGTATGACAGGCATTGAAAGCATTTAAGCACGGCAACTTGGTAAGCTAACATGAGGTGGGCATCCCTCAAGTAAAAAAACCAAGCTTTGCCAGGCTTTCGCACGTCACCATTATGAAGTCATATCGCTCAATGTGACGCAAAAGATATGACGTCACAGTCGTATACAGAAAAGCGCCAAAATTCCAAGCTTTCTGTTGTCTCATAAACGTAAATACATTCCCTGTGTAGATTTCTATCATGTTTTCTGCATGAAATGTATTGCCACACATCCTTTGAATATTGAAGTAACCGCATCTGTGCATTTTGTAACCTGTAATTGTAGATATAATTATTTAAATATGCCTACCGACAATGAAAATAGTACTATTCTATGAATATTAGCTTCCTCGGTGAAGCGGTAGTCAAACCAGCTGTTTCAATCAGTGGGGGTTTATTGTGATTTAATCAGAATTGAGTAAAATCCAAATTCATGGTAGAATGGGTGATTATTACAGTTCTCATGTCTTTTATGTGTATTTATGTGCAACCAAGTCAAAATTAATTGATTTTGTTATACATAATTTATGCAAATAAGCAGCTTATCTGGAGCTCTGCCCAGTGCTGAAGGGTCCTCCATATCTGAGTTGAGTCTTCTGTTGTTTCAGGCAATGTCTATGCCCTGAGAGTGAATCTGAGTGTCGCCATTGTTGCGATGACCAAGAACAGAACAGTTCTTCTGAATGGAAATGATACTGTGGTGAGTTGAACAGCTTGATGCTTAGTGTAGACTTAGTGTAGACTTAGTGTAGACCGTCCCCGTGGTGAGTTGAACGGCTTGATGCTTAGTGTAGACTAAGTGTAGACTTAGTGTAGACCGTCCCCGTGGTGAGTTGAACAGCTTGATGCTTAGTGTAGACTTAGTGTAGACCGTCCCCGTGGTGAGTTGAACAGCTTGATGCTTAGTGTAGACATAGTGTAGACTTAGTGTAGACCGTCCCCGTGGTGAGTTGAACGGCTTGATGCTTAGTGTAGACTTAGTGTAGACTTAGTGTAGACCGTCCCCGTGGTGAGTTGAACGGCTTGATGCTTAGTGTAGACCGTCCCCGTGGTGAGTTGAACGGCTTAATGCTTAGTGTAGACTTAGTGTAGACTTTGGGTAGACCGTCCCGGTGGTGAGTTGAACAGCTTGATGCTTAGTGTAGACCTAGTGTAGATCGCCTCCGTGGTGAGTTGAACAGCTTGATGCTTAGTGTAGACTTAGTGTAGACTTAGTGTAGACCGTCCCCGTGGTGAGTTGAACAGCTTGATGCTTAGTGTAGACTTAGTGTAGACCATCCCCGTGGTGAGTTGAACAGCTTGATGCTTAGTGTAGACTTAGTGTAGACTTAGTGTAGACCGTCCCCGTGGTGTGTTGAACGGCTTGATGCTTAGTGGAGACTTAGTGTAGACTTAGTGTAGACCGTCCCAGTGGTGAGTTGAACAGCTTGATGCTTAGTGTAGACCGTCCCCGTGGTGAGTTGAACAGCTTGATGCTTAGTGTAGACTTAGTGTAGACTTAGTGTAGACCGTCCCCGTGGTGAGTTGAACAGCTTGATGCTTAGTGTAGACATAGTGTAGACTTTTGGTAGACTGTCCCCGTGGTGAGTTGAACAGCTTGATGCTTAGTGTAGACTTAGTGTAGACCGCCTCCGTGGTGAGTTGAACGGCTTGTTGCTTAGTGTAGACTTAGTTTGGACTGTATCCTTGGTGAGTTGAACGGCTTGATGCTTAGTGTAGACTTAGTTTAGACCGCCTCTGTGGTGAGTTGAAGAACGGCTTGATACTTAGTGTCGACTGCCTCTGTGGTGAGTTGAACGTTTTGATACTTAGTGTAGACTTAATGTAGAGCTCCTCCGTAGTGAGTTGAACAGCTTGATGCTTAGTGTAGACATAGTGTAGACTTAGTGTAGACCGTCCCCGTGGTGAGTTGAACGGCTTGATGCTTAGTGTAGACATAGTGTAGACTTAGTGTAGACCGTCCCCGTGGTGAGTTGAACGGCTTGATGCTTAGTGTAGACTTAGTGTAGACTTAGTGTAGACCGCCTCCGTGGTGAGTTGAACAGCTTGATGCTTAGTGTAGACTTAGTGTAGACTTAGTGTAGACCGTCCCCGTGGTGAGTTGAACAGCTTGATGCTTAGTGTAGACTTAGTGTAGACTTAGTGTAGACCATCCCCGTGATGAGTTGAACAGCTTGATGCTTAGTGTAGACTTAGTGTAGACTTAGTGTAGACTTAGTGTAGACCGTCCCCGTGGTGAGTTGAACGGCTTGATGCTTAGTGTAGACCGTCCCCGTGGTGAGTTGAACGGCTTGATGCTTAGTGTAGACTTAGTGTAGACTTAGTGTAGACCGTCCCCGTGGTGAGTTGAACGGCTTGATGCTTAGTGTAGACCGTCCCCGTGGTGAGTTGAACGGCTTGATGCTTAGTGTAGACTTAGTGTAGACCGTCCCCGTGGTGAGTTGAACAGCTTGATGCTTAGTGTAGACTTAGTGTAGACCGTCCCGTGGTGAGTTGAACAGCTTGATGCTTAGTGTAGACATAGTGTAGACTTTTGGTAGACTGTCCCCGTGGTGAGTTGAACAGCTTGATGCTTAGTGTAGACTTAGTGTAGACCGCCTCCGTGGTGAGTTGAACGGCTTGTTGCTTAGTGTAGACTTAGTTTGGACTGTATCCTTGGTGAGTTGAACGGCTTGATGCTTAGTGTAGACTTAGTTTAGACCGCCTCTGTGGTGAGTTGAAGAACGGCTTGATACTTAGTGTCGACTGCCTCTGTGGTGAGTTGAACGTTTTGATGCTTAGTGTAGACTTAGTGTAGACCATCCCCGTGGTGAGTTGAACAGCTTGATGCTTAGTGTAGACTTAGTGTAGACTTAGTGTAGACCGTCCCCGTGGTGTGTTGAACGGCTTGATGCTTAGTGGAGACTTAGTGTAGACTTAGTGTAGACCGTCCCAGTGGTGAGTTGAACAGCTTGATGCTTAGTGTAGACCGTCCCCGTGGTGAGTTGAACAGCTTGATGCTTAGTGTAGACTTAGTGTAGACTTAGTGTAGACCGTCCCCGTGGTGAGTTGAACAGCTTGATGCTTAGTGTAGACATAGTGTAGACTTTTGGTAGACTGTCCCCGTGGTGAGTTGAACAGCTTGATGCTTAGTGTAGACTTAGTGTAGACCGCCTCCGTGGTGAGTTGAACGGCTTGTTGCTTAGTGTAGACTTAGTTTGGACTGTATCCTTGGTGAGTTGAACGGCTTGATGCTTAGTGTAGACTTAGTTTAGACCGCCTCTGTGGTGAGTTGAAGAACGGCTTGATACTTAGTGTCGACTGCCTCTGTGGTGAGTTGAACGTTTTGATACTTAGTGTAGACTTAATGTAGAGCTCCTCCGTAGTGAGTTGAACAGCTTGATGCTCTGTGTAGGCTCAGTGTAGATTTAGTGTAGACGGCCTTCATGGTGAGTTGAACGGCATGATGCTTAGTCTAGACTGTCTCCATGGTGAGTTGAACGGCTTGTTGCTTAGTGTAGACTTAGTGTAGACCGCATTCATGGTGAGTTGAACAGCTTGATGCTTAATGCAGAGCTCCTCCATGGTGAGTTGAACAGCTTGATACTAAGTTTTGACTTCCTCCATGGTGAGTTGAACGGCTTGATACTAAGTTTTGACTTCCTCCATGGTTAGTTGAACTGCTTGACACTAAGTTTTGGCTGCCTCCGTGGTTAGTTGAACGGCTTGATGCTTAGTGTAGATATAGTGTAGACTTAGTGTAGACCACCTCCGTGGTGAGTTTAGCAGCTTGATGCTTCAATTTGTGGACTATGTACATGTTTTGTTTGTCCGTGATATAACACATCAGAATTATTTATTGAGAAGAACTGGTAAAAGTAAATAATTTTTAGAACAAAATAGAATATGAGAGTAGCTGGAACACAAAACAAGTTATATCTGTGATGTAGCACTCGCAAACTGTTATCTTTTTGAAACTAATCAACAAACAGACAAACTGATCCCCGTGGGGATGCCAGGTTAGAAAAGTTCCGCAGCAGCCAATGGATTAGGTGGTCAGACTTAGTGACCTGCTGGATTTGCGTGTCATCGTCAACCAAAGAAGTGGATTGTTGCTCACAATATCAATCACTGGATAGTCTGGAACCAGATTGATTATTGATGGGCAGCTTCATATTGCTAGAAGATTGCTGTGGCGTTGAACAACAAGCAAACAATTCTTATTATGTGCAACGGCGGGAAGGGTGGTCCAGTCGTCTAAGGCGCCATGATTGGCTGTGCAGAGTTGCGTCCCTTGGGCACGCCAGAAGCCTATGATTGTTGGTTTGAATCCCGGTTCGGCTCGATTATGGTTATAGGTTTGTCAGCACCATACCCATGCTCGTGGGTTTCACCGAAGTGGTAAACGTCTGAGACCTGCATCACTTTGGGCTTTCCTCCCACATTAAACGGACACGCTGTGATATAACTATAATACTGTTAAAAGCGGCGTTAAACCCAACTCACTCACTATTGTGAGCTACATTCAAACCCATTAGGGTACTAGCATACATTGATTTAGTCACCCGGTCTGACACTTGATCTAATACGTTGCCTTATATGGGGTACTGATGAGAAGTTCTAACCAGGAATCCCCACAGGGCAATGCATGTGAATGCTGCTCCTTCTTCTGAAAAAACTGTGTAGATTGTAATTAAAAAAGGGAGGTATTGTTGAAAGCAAGCCTTGGGTTGAGGAAGTAGGTGTTGATATGCAGCTAAGTCCTCTCCAAACTCCAGGAGTCGCCGGCTGACTTTGACTGGGACAACAACCTCCAGGGAGCAGTGCTGGCCTCCTTCTTCTACGGATACATCTTAACCCAGTTGCCTGGAGGTGAGTTGGTGGTCGCGAGGCGGTGGGGGTGAGACTGTTGGGTGAGGCGGTGGGGTGAGGTGGTCGTCATGAGAGGTGGTTGTGAGTCGGTGGTCGTGAGGCGGTGGGGGTGAGGCGGTGGTCATGAAGGGTGGTTGTGAGTCGATGGGGGTGAGACTGGGGGGGTGGGGTGGTCATGAGGGGTGGGGGTGATTCTGTGGGGGTGAGGCGGTGGGGGTGAGATGGTCGTAATGAGGGGTGGTCATGAGGAGTGGTTGTGAGCCGGTGGTCATGAGGCGGTGGTCATGAGGAGTGGTTGTGAGCCGGTGGTCATGAGGCGGTGGTCATGAGGAGTGGTTGTGAGAAGGTGGTCATGAGGCGGTGGTCATGAGGAGTGGTTGTGAGCCGGTGGTCATGAGCCGGTGGTCATGAGGCGGTGGTCATGAGGCGGTGGTCATGAGGAGTGGTTGTGAGCAGATGGTCATGAGGCGGTGGTCATGAGGTGGTGGTCATGAGGGGTGGTCATGAGGCGGTGGTCATGAGGGGTGGTCATGAGGGGTGGTCATGAGGCGGTGGTCATGAGGGGTGGTCATGAGGGGTGGTCATGAGGAGTGGTTGTGAGCCGGTGGTCATGAGGCGGTGGTCATGAGGAGTGGTTGTGAGCCGGTGGTCATGAGGCGGTGGTCATGAGGAGTGGTTGTGAGCCGGTGGTCATGAGCCGGTGGTCATGAGGCGGTGGTCATGAGGCGGTGGTCATGAGGAGTGGTTGTGAGCAGGTGGTCATGAGGCGGTGGTCATGAGGTGGTGGTCATGAGGGGTGGTCATGAGGCGGTGGTCATGAGAGGTGGTCATGAGGGGTGGTCATGAGGCGGTGGTCATGAGGGATGGTCATGAGGGGTGGTCATGAGGCGGTGGTCATGAGGGGTGGTCATGAGGGGTGGTCATGAGGCGGTGGTCATGAGGAGTGGTTGTGAGCCGGTGGTCATGAGCCGGTGGTCATGAGGCGGTGGTCATGAGGAGTGGTTGTGAGCCGGTGGTCATGAGCCGGTGGTCATGAGGGGTGGTCATGAGGAGTGGTTGTGGGCCGGTGGGGCTGAGGCGGTAGTCGTGAGGCGGTGGTCGTGAGGCGGTGGTCGTGAGGCGGTGGTCGTGAGGCGGTGGTCGTGAGGGGTGGTTGTGAGGCGGTGGTCGTGAGGCGGTGGTCGTGAGGCGGTGGTCGTGAGGCGGTGGTCATGAGGTGGTGGTTCTGAGGCGGTGGGGGTGAGTCGGTTTGGAAGAGGTGGTGGTCATGAGGAGTGGTTGTGGGCCGGTGGGGCTGAGGCGGTGGTCGTGAGGCGGTGGTCATGAGGCGGTGGTCGTGAGGCGGTGGGGGTGAGTCGGTTTGGATGAGGTTGTGGTTGTGAATTGATGTTTGTGAGTGGATGGGTGAGTCAGTTGGGGTGAGTTGGTTGGTTTGATTTGGTTTGGATGAAGCGGTTGTCGTGAGGCGGTGGTTGTGAGTCAGTGATCATGGGTCTTTGGGGATGTAAATTTTGATATGTGTTAATTATATCATTGCGAAAAAGCTGTAACATTTTTTTTTAATCCTCACTCACTTCAGAATGCACACTACGAGTCACAATGTCATGCATGAACACAAACACCAATATCTATGCAGTTAAATGTGTATATTTTACTTATCCTGCATTACATAAGGCACAATGGTCTGACCACCAGGGGCTGTGAGGTAGCCTAGTGGTTAAAGTGTTCGCCCGTCACGCCAAAGACCTGGGTTCGATTCCCCACATGGGTACAATGTGTGAAGCCCATTTCTGGTGTTCCCCTGTCGTGATATTGCTCACTCACTCACTCACACTTACCACCAAAGTCCTTACTGGAAATGAATGACAATCTGTCAGCGTCTTCAGTGTCGGTGTCGGAATACACGCGCCAAATATGTCATTACTGCCTTCGAACGTTCCTCAGGGCTGATGGTACAGTGCTGCTAAGTTAGCGAAGGAGAGAAGAATGATTTGGGGGCATGGTGCAATATGTAATGCAGGATCAGTATATAAAATAAGCATCAACCTCTGATGATGGAATTCCCAGGGTTCCTGGCCACGAGGTATGGAGGGAAGTATCTGTTTGGAGGAGGAATCTTTGTCACAGCCGTCCTCACCATTCTTACGCCGGTGTTCGCCACCTGGAGTGTGTATCTCCTCATCGCTGTCAGGGTCATCGAGGGACTGTTTGAGGTGGGTATCTCCTCATCGCTGTCAGGGTCATTGAGGGAGGGACTGTTTGAGGTGGGTATCTCCTCATAGCTGTCAGGGTAATCGAGGGACTGTTTGAGGTGGGTATCTCCTCATCGCTGTCAGGGTCATTGAGGGAGGGACTGTTTGAGGTGGGTATCTCCTCATCGCTGTCAGGGTCATTGAGGGAGGGACTGTTTGAGGTGGGTATCTCCTCATCACTGTCAGGGTCATCGAGGGAGGACCTGTTTGAGGTGGGTATCTCCTCATCTCTGTCAGAGTCATCGAGGGACTGTTTGAGGTGGGTATCTCCTCATCACTGTCAGGGTCATCGAGGGAGGACCTGTTTGAGGTGGGTATCTCCTCATCTCTGTCAGAGTCATCGAGGGACTGTTTGAGGTGGGTATCTCCTCATCACTGTCAGGGTCATCGAGGGAGGACCTGTTTGAGGTGGGTATCTCCTCATCTCTGTCAGGGTCATCGAGGGACTGTTTGAGGTGGGTATCTCCTCATCACTGTCAGGGTCATCGAGGGACTGTTTGAGGTGGGTATCTCCTCATCTCTGTCAGGGTCATCGAGGGACTGTTTGAGGTGGGTATCTCCTCATCACTGTCAGGGTCATCGAGGGAGGACCTGTTTGAGGTGGGTATCTCCTCATCTCTGTCAGGGTCATCGAGGGACTGTTTGAGGTGGGTATCTCCTCATCACTGTCAGGGTCATCGAGGGACTGTTTGAGGTGGGTATCTCCTCATCGCTGTCAGGGTCATCGAGGGACTGTTTGAGGTGGGTATCTCCTCATCGCTGTCAGGGTCATTGAGGGAGGGACTGTTTGAGGTGGGTATCTCCTCATCGCTGTCAGAGTCATCAAGGGAGGGACTGTTTAAAGTGGGTATCTCCTCATCGCTGTCAGGTCATCGAGGGACTGTTTGAGGTGGGTATCTCCTCATCGCTGTCAGGGTCATCGAGGGACTGTTTGAGGTGGGTATCTCCTCATCGCTCTCAGGGTCATCGAGGGACTGTTTGAGGTGGGTATCTCCTCATCGCTCTCAGGGTCATTGATGGAGGGACTGTTTGAGGTGGGTATCTCCTCATCGCTCTCAGGGTCATCGAGGGACTGTTTGAGGTGGGTATCTCCTCATCGCTCTCAGGGTCATTGAGGGAGGGACTGTTTGAGGTGGGTATCTCCTCATCGCTGTCAGGGTCATCGAGGGAGGGACTGTTTGAGGTGGGTATCTCCTCATCGCTCTCAGGGTCATCGAGGGACTGTTTGAGGTGGGTATCTCCTCATCGCTGTCAGAGTCACCAAGGGAGGGACTGTTTGAGGTGGGTATCTCCTCATCGCTGTCAGGGTCATTGAGGGAGGGACTGTTTAAAGTGGGTATCTCCTCATCGCTGTCAGGTCATCGAGGGACTGTTTGAGGTGGGTATCTCCTCATCGCTGTCAGGGTCATCGAGGGAGGGACTGTTTGAGGTGGGTATCTCCTCATCGCTGTCAGGGTCATCGAGGGACTGTTTGAGGTGTGTAAAAAGGGGATTGGTCATGGTCCTTCTGTCTGTGATGGCAATAGTTTGTGTGCATCGTTCACTTATCAGTCACTTATTAGTCTGATCCAGATTGTTTATTATTCATGGGCTGCTGTTATAGCTGGAATATTGCTGAGTGAGACGTTAAACAACAAACACACCAACAGAAAACTTAGCGAGCAGTCTCAGATAGCAGATCAAAAGTGGCTGCCTGGGCACAGGACACTTGTTTGTTCACCTTCCAATACAACACTGCTGAAGGATGATAACAGGCCTATTCACTCACTCAAATATGTGAATTTACACTATCTGTTGCGCCGAAGATGTTTTGAACCAATCACTCACTGTCTTGTTCCAGGGGGTGACGTACCCAGCCATCCATGCAATGTGGTCCAAGTGGGCTCCACCCCAGGAAAAGACCAAACTGGCCACATTTGCCTTCTCAGGTAGGTTTACAAATATCTAGTGTTCCAGCATCTTTACATGTGGCTGTTGTGTGGGTGTCTACCTGGGGACTGTGTTGGTGATGCCTGTGTGTGTGGTTCCCTTGCTGCGAGTTCAGTATCTATACATGTGTCTGTTGTTGTGCAGGTGCCTACTTAGGGACTGTTGGTGATGTCTGCATGTGTGGCTCCCTTGCTGCGAGTTCAGTATCTATAGATGTGTCTGTTGTGCAGCTGCCTACTTGGAGACTGTTGACGATACCTGTGTGTGGCTCCCTTGCTGCGAGTTTAGTGTCCATAAATGTGTCTGTTCTTGTGTGGGTGCCTACTTGGGGACTGTGTTGGCGATGCCTGCGTGTGTGGCTCCCTTGCTGCGAGTTTAGTATCTACACATGTGTCTGATGTTGTGCAGGTGCCTACTTAGGGACTGTTGGCGATGCCTGCCTGTGTGGCTCCCTTGCTGTGAGTTTAGTATCTATAGATGTGTCTGTTGTTGTGCAAGTGCCTACTTGGGGACTGTGTTGACGATGCCTGTGTGTGGCTCAGTTGCTGCGAGATCAGTGTCTATAGATGGGTCTGTTGTTGTGCAGCTGCCTACTTGGGGACTGTGTTGACGATGCCTGTGTGTGGCTCAGTTGCTGCGAGATCAGTGTCTATAAATGGGTCTGTTGTTGTGCAGCTGCCTACTTGGGGACTGTGTTGACGATGCCTGTGTGTGGCTCAGTTGCTGCGAGATCAGTGTCTATAGATGGGTCTGTTGTTGTGCAGCTGCCTACTTGGGGACTGTGTTGACGATGCCTGTGTGTGGCTCCCTTGCTGTGATTTCAGTATCTATACATGTGTCTGTTGTTGGTTGGGTGTCTACTTGGGGACTGTGTTGGCGATGCCTGTGTGTGGCCCCCTTGCTGCGAGTTCAGTATCTATACATGTGTCTGTTGTTGTGCAGCTGCCTACTTGGGGACTGTGTTGACGATGCCTGTGTGTGTGGCTCCCTTGCTGTGATTTCAGTATCTATACATGTGTCTGTTGTTGGTTGGGTGTCTACTTGGGGACTGTGTTGACGATGCCTGTGTGTGTGGCTCCCTTGCTGTGATTTCAGTATCTATACATGTGTCTGTTGTTGGTTGGGTGTCTACTTGGGGACTGTGTTGGCGATGCCTGTGTGTGGCCCCCTTGCTGCGAGTTCAGTATCTATACATGTGTCTGTTGTTGTGCAGCTGCCTACTTGGGGACTGTGTTGGCGATGCCTGTGTGTGGCCCCCTTGCTGCGAGTTCAGTATCTATACATGGGTCTGTTGTTGTGTGGGTGTCTACTTGGGGACTGTGTTGACGATGCCTGTGTGTGTGGCTCCCTTGCTGCGAGTTCAGTATCTTTACATTGGTCTGTTGTTGTGTGGGTGTCTACTTGGGGACTGTGTTGGTGATGTCTGCATGTGTGGCTCCCTTGCTGTGAGTTCAGTATCTATGCATGTGTCTGTTGTTGTACAGCTGCCTACTTAGGGACTGTTGGCGATGCCTGTGTGTGTGGCTCCCTTGCTGCGAGTTCAGTGTCCATAGATGGGTCTGTTGTTGTGCAGGTGTCTACTTGGGGACTGTGTTGACAATGCCTGTGTGTGGCCCCCTTGCTGCGAGTTCAGTATCTATACATGGGTCTGTTGTTGTGTGGGTGTCTACTTGGGGACTGTGTTGGCGATGCCTGTGTGTGGCTCCCTTGCTGTGAGTTTAGTATCTATACATGGGTCTGTTGTTGTGCAAGTGCCTACTTGGGGACTGTGTTGGCGATGCCTGTGTGTGTGGCTCCCTTGCTGCGAGTTCAGTATCTATACATGTGTCTGTTGTTGTGTTGGTGTCTACCTGGGAACTGTATTGGCGATGCCTGTGTGTGTGGCTCCCTTGCTGCGAGTTCAGTATCTATACATGGGTCTGTTGTTGTGCAAGTGCCTACTTGGGAACTGTATTGGCGATGCCTGTGTGTGTGGGTCCCTTGCTGCGAGTTCAGTGTCCATAGATGGGTCTGTTGTTGTGCAGGTGTCTACTTGGGGACTGTGTTGACAATGCCTGTGTGTGGCCCCCTTGCTGCGAGTTCAGTATCTATACATGTGTCTGTTGTTGTGTGGGTGTCTACTTGGGGACTGTGTTGACAATGCCTGTGTGTGGCCCCCTTGCTGCGAGTTCAGTATCTATAAATGTGTCTGTTCTTGTGTGGGTGCTTACTTGGGGACTGTGTTGGCGATGCCTGTGTGTGTGTCTCCCTTGCTGTGAGTTCAGTATCTATACATGGGTCTGTTGTTGTGTGGGTGTCTACTTGGGGACTGTGTTGACAATGCCTGTGTGTGGCCCCCTTGCTGCGAGTTCAGTATCTATACATGTGTCTGTTGTTGTGTGGGTGCTTACTTGGGGACTGTATTGGCGATGCCTGTGTGTGTGGCTCCCTTGCTGCGAGTTCAGTATCTATACATGGGTCTGTTGTTGTGCAAGTGCCTACTTGGGAACTGTATTGGCGATGCCTGTGTGTGTGGCTCCCTTGCTGCGAGTTCAGTGTCCATAGATGGGTCTGTTGTTGTGCAGGTGTCTACTTGGGGACTGTGTTGACAATGCCTGTGTGTGGCCCCCTTGCTGCGAGTTCAGTATCTATAAATGTGTCTGTTGTTGTGTGGGTGTCTACTTGGGGACTGTGTTGACAATGCCTGTGTGTGGCCCCCTTGCTGCGAGTTCAGTATCTATAAATGTGTCTGTTCTTGTGTGGGTGCTTACTTGGGGACTGTGTTGGCGATGCCTGTGTGTGTGACTCCCTTGCTGTGAGTTCAGTATCTATACATGTGTCTGTTGTTGTGCAGCTGCCTACTTGGGGACTGTGTTGACGATGCCTGTGTGTGGCCCCCTTGCTGCGAGTTCAGTATCTATACATGTGTCTGTTGTTGTGCAGCTGCCTACTTGGGGACTGTGTTGGCGATGCCTGTGTGTGTGGCTCCCTTGCTGTGAGTTTAGTATCTATACATGTGTCTGTTGTTGTGCAGCTGCCTACTTGGGGACTGTGTTGACGATGCCTGTGTGTGGCCCCCTTGCTGCGAGTTCAGTATCTATACATGTGTCTGTTGTTGTGTGGGTGTCTACTTGGGGACTGTGTTGACAATGCCTGTGTGTGTGGCCCCCTTGCTGCGAGTTCAGTATCTATAAATGTGTCTGTTCTTGGTTGGGTGTCTACTTGGGGACTGTGTTGGCGATGCCTGTGTGTGTGGCTCCCTTGCTGCGATTTCAGTATCTATACATGGGTCTGTTGTTGTGTGGGTGTCTACTTGGGGACTGTGTTGGCGATGCCTGTGTGTGTGGCTCCCTTGCTGCGAGTTTAGTATCTATACATGGGTCTGTTGTTGTGCAGCTGCCTACTTTGGGACTGTGTTGGCGATGCCTGTGTGTGTGGCTCCCTTGCTGCGAGTTCAGTATCTATACATTGGTCTGTTGTTTGTGCAGGTGCCTACTTTGGGACTGTGTTGGCGATGCCTGCATGTGGCTCCCTTGCTGCGAGTTCAGGGGGCTGGCAATCCATCTTCTATGTGTTTGGTAAGTATGTGTTCCCTGGGTTTCAGTGTGTGGCCATTAAACATGAATGTTAAGTTTCAAATCAAATCTGCTCTTGATGCTTGAAGGAAATCAGAGAAAGAAATTGCAGATGAATTTGATGCCCCTAAATCCACTTTTAGTACGATCATCAAGCAAGGAGAGTCTATCATTGCCAAGTGTCAGTCATCAGAGTACGGGGCAGCTAGAAAACGATTCCGATCGTCAACTTCCAAAGATGTAGAAAATGCGCTGTTCAAGTGGTTTAAAGCTGCACCAAGTGACACCATTCCATTGAGTGGTCCCATCATAATTTCTAAGGCAAATGAATTTGCTGAGTGGCTGAGACATCGATGATGAACTTGAGACAGAACCATCGATCGAATGGGAACTTCTCACACCATCTGAAACAGCCACGCGATATGACACCATTCGTCTGTTCTTTCAAAGTTGCCCTGTTCATCATTGAAAGTGTTCAATAATATTGATGACATAGAGAATCTCACCTGAGTGTCTTTTGATATCAAATATATCAACACGAGTTGATAAAAGTGGAAAAACTCTGAGGCTTGCCGAGGATTTTATCCACTTTTATCAACAAGTGTTGATATATTTGATATCAAAAGACACGAGGGTGAGATTTTATTTATCATCCGACATCATTCTTCTAATTTTTTCAGTTTGTAGACAGTAATAAGCAGTGTCTAAAGTGTAAAAAGTACTGCTTACAGCTTCAGTAGCAGAGCCATTAGTGATGTCATTTGATTGTGACGTCATGGTAACAATGACATCACAATGGTCTGCAAAGCATTGTGATGCCATTTCACGGCAGCTATATCTAGTGTAGATATCGCTTGAACTTACCAAGTGATATCTCCTGTGGGAGCCGGTTTTGGATGATAAATTGAGGTTACACCTGCCCAAATCTGTCTTTCAACAAGCGTTCAAAGTAAAACCACAGACTTCCTGAATGAAGGCAAGTGACCCTTGTGTCTGTATGTCATTGAAAAATGTTTTATTTATGTTCTGTTATATATGAATGAACATAGTACATGTACAGTGCACACTTATTATCGAGTTATTTATTGATGAACATGATGTGCGCACATGACTTGATTCAAGATGTCTGACAGTCGAAATGTGTATAACGAACGGCGGATATGGCGAGCTAAAATTAGGTGTCCCTATAACCATAGTTTATTGTATGATTATATTTGTTTTCAGGGTCGGTGGGAGTTCTGTGGTTCCTCTTCTGGTGCATCTTTATCTCGGAGAGTCCAGCCAAACACCCGACCATCAGTAACGCTGAGCTGGAGTACATCCAACAGGCTATAGGCTACACAGATGAGCAGACAAAGGTACGAACGCACGGTTCCAAATTATAATAAGAAGTATATATTTAAGGTGGGACTACATCAAATTTCAAAGCACAGTAGGTTTATCTCCTAAGTATTCTGGATTTAGAAAAAAATATTGACAGACGTTAGCTAATATCCCATCTCAAAAAGTCTGAAAAAGGACTGTTTAAAGTTTAGAAAAGGCCTTGAATTTTAGTGTTCCATATCGGTATGAACCTTGGAATCAGAAGGATAAAGAGATCACAAAATTCCTGTGTTTTGTAGTCACATAATATTCTAAAGTGGGGACAGTGCTGGCGCGAGTGTTCCATCCATCTGTTGTCTTGTTGACAGAGGATTCACCCACCTTGGCTGTCCATGTTGACGTCACTGCCGGTGTGGGCGATCGTGGTGGCCCACTTTGCCGAGAACTGGGGCTTCTACACCTGGCTTACAGAACTGCCCACATTCCTGAACTCAGTGCTGCACTTTAAGCTGGATCAGGTGAGTTGTTAGCTCACCTTACCTACTTGATGAGTGTTGTTAGCTTATCTGACCTAGGAGGTTAGTACTACATGAACCACATTCCTGAACTCACTGCTGCACTTTAAGCTGGATCAGGTGAGTTGTTAGCTCACCTTACCTACTTGATGAGTGTTGTTAGCTTATCTGACCTAGGAGGTTAGTACTACATGAACCACATTCCTGAACTCAGTGCTGCACTTTAAGCTGGATCAGGTGAGTTGTTAGCTCACCTTACCTACTTGATGAGTGTTGTTAGCTTATCTGACCTAGGAGGTTAGTACTACATGAACCACATTCCTGAACTCACTGCTGCACTTTAAGCTGGATCAGGTGAGTTGTTAGCTCACCTTACCTACTTGATGAGTGTTGTTAGCTTATCTGACCTAGGAGGTTAGTACTACATGAACCACATTCCTGAACTCACTGCTGCACTTTAAGCTGGATCAGGTGAGTTGTTAGCTCACCTTACCTACTTGATGAGTGTTGTTAGCTTATCTGACCTAGGAGGTTAGTACTACATGAACCACATTCCTGAACTCACTGCTGCACTTTTAGATGGATCAGGTGAGTTGTTAGCTCACCTTACCTACTTGATGCATATTGTAAGTTTATCTTACCTAGGGGATATTATACCACATACCACATATACCACAATATACCATCTTTCTCAAATTAGTGGTGCCCTTTGACATGTTTAAACTGGAACAAGTTAGATGTTACCTCACCTTACCTAGTTGATTATCTCACCCACCTAGTTGGAGGTTCCTGGCTGCGTTGCCCTACCTGGTGCTGGGCCTGGTTGTGCTGACCGGTGGTCATCTAATCTGTTGTGCTTCTGTTCCAGGGAGGGTTCCTGGCTGCGTTGCCCTACCTGGTGCTGGCCTGGTTGTGCTGACCAGTGGTCATCTAATCTGTTGTGCTTCTGTTACAGAGGTGGTTCCTGGCTGCTCTGCCCTACCTGGTGCTGGGCCTGGTTGTGCTGACCAGTGTCATCTAATCTGTTGTGCTTCTGTTCCAGGGAGGGTCCTGGCTGCACTGCCCTACCTGGTGATGGGCCTGGTTGTGCTGACCAGTGTCATCTAATCTGTTGTGCTTCTGTTCCAGGGAGGGTTCCTGGCTGCTCTGCCCTACATAGTGATGGGCCTGGTTGTGCTGACCAGTGTCATCTAATCTGTTGTGCTTCTGTTCCAGGGAGGGTTCCTGGCTGCTCTGCCCTACATAGTGATGGGCCTGGTTGTGCTGACCAGTGTCATCTAATCTGTTGTGCTTCTGTTACAGAGGTGGTTCCTGGCTGCTCTGCCCTACCTGGTGCTGGGCCTGGTTGTGCTGACCAGTGTCATCTAATCTGTTGTGCTTCTGTTCCAGGGAGGGTCCTGGCTGCACTGCCCTACCTGGTGATGGGCCTGGTTGTGCTGACCAGTGTCATCTAATCTGTTGTGCTTCTGTTCCAGGGAGGGTTCCTGGCTGCTCTGCCCTACATAGTGATGGGCCTGGTTGTGCTGACCAGTGTCATCTAATCTGTTGTGCTTCTGTTACAGAGGTGGTTCCTGGCTGCTCTGCCCTACCTGGTGATGGGCCTGGTTGTGCTGACCAGTGTCATCTAATCTGTTGTGCTTCTGTTCCAGGGAGGGTTCCTGGCTGCTCTGCCCTACATAGTGATGGGCCTGGTTGTGCTGACCAGTGTCATCTAATCTGTTGTGCTTCTGTTCCAGGGAGGGTTCCTGGCTGTGTTGCCCTACCTGGTGCTGGCCTGGTTGTGCTGACCAGTGTCATCTAATCTGTTGTGCTTCTGTTCCAGGGAGGGTTCCTGGCTGCTCTGCCCTACATAGTGATGGGCCTGGTTGTGCTGACCAGTGTCATCTAATCTGTTGTGCTTCTGTTCCAGGGAGGGTTCCTGGCTGCTCTGCCCTACATAGTGATGGGCCTGGTTGTGCTGACCAGTGTCATCTAATCTGTTGTGCTTCTGTTCCAGGGAGGGTTCCTGGCTGCTCTGCCCTACATAGTGATGGGCCTGGTTGTGCTGACCAGTGTCATCTAATCTGTTGTGCTTCTGTTCCAGGGAGGGTTCCTGGCTGCTCTGCCCTACATAGTGATGGGCCTGGTTGTGCTGACCAGTGTCATCTAATCTGTTGTGCTTCTGTTCCAGGGAGGGTTCCTGGCTGCTCTGCCCTACATAGTGATGGGCCTGGTTGTGCTGACCAGTGTCATCTAATCTGTTGTGCTTCTGTTCCAGGGAGGGTCCCTGGCTGCTCTGCCCTACATAGTGATGGGCCTGGTTGTGCTGACCAGTGTCATCTAATCTGTTGTGCTTCTGTTCCAGGGAGGGTTCCTGGCTGCACTGCCCTACATAGTGATGGGCCTGGTTGTGCTGACCAGTGTCATCTAATCTGTTGTGCTTCTGTTCCAGGGAGGGTTCCTGGCTGCACTGCCCTACATAGTGATGGGCCTGGTTGTGCTGACCGGTGTCATCTAATCTGTTGTGCTTCTGTTCCAGGGAGGGTTCCTGGCTGCACTGCCCTACCTGGTGCTGGCCTGGTTGTGCTGACCAGTGGTCATCTAATCTGTTGTGCTTCTGTTACAGAGGTGGTTCCTGGCTGCTCTGCCCTACCTGGTGCTGGGCCTGGTTGTGCTGACCGGTGTCATCTAATCTGTTGTGCTTCTGTTCCAGGGAGGGTTCCTGGCTGCTCTGCCCTACATAGTGATGGGCCTGGTTGTGCTGACCAGTGTCATCTAATCTGTTGTGCTTCTGTTCCAGGGAGGGTTCCTGGCTGCTCTGCCCTACCTGGTGATGGGCCTGGTTGTGCTGACCAGTGTCATCTAATCTGTTGTGCTTCTGTTCCAGGGAGGGTTCCTGGCTGCACTGCCCTACCTGGTGATGGGCCTGGTTGTGCTGACCAGTGGCATCTAATCTGTTGTGCTTCTGTTCCAGGGAGGGTTCCTGGCTGCTCTGCCCTACATAGTGATGGGCCTGGTTGTGCTGACCAGTGTCATCTAATCTGTTGTGCTTCTGTTCCAGGGAGGGTTCCTGGCTGCGTTGCCCTACCTGGTGATGGGCCTGGTTGTGCTGACCAGTGTCATCTAATCTGTTGTGCTTCTGTTCCAGGGAGGGTTCCTGGCTGTGTTGCCCTACCTGGTGCTGGCCTGGTTGTGCTGACCAGTGTCATCTAATCTGTTGTGCTTCTGTTCCAGGGAGGGTTCCTGGCTGCTCTGCCCTACATAGTGATGGGCCTGGTTGTGCTGACCAGTGTCATCTAATCTGTTGTGCTTCTGTTCCAGGGAGGGTTCCTGGCTGCTCTGCCCTACATAGTGATGGGCCTGGTTGTGCTGACCAGTGTCATCTAATCTGTTGTGCTTCTGTTCCAGGGAGGGTTCCTGGCTGCTCTGCCCTACATAGTGATGGGCCTGGTTGTGCTGACCAGTGTCATCTAATCTGTTGTGCTTCTGTTCCAGGGAGGGTTCCTGGCTGCTCTGCCCTACATAGTGATGGGCCTGGTTGTGCTGACCAGTGTCATCTAATCTGTTGTGCTTCTGTTCCAGGGAGGGTTCCTGGCTGCTCTGCCCTACATAGTGATGGGCCTGGTTGTGCTGACCAGTGTCATCTAATCTGTTGTGCTTCTGTTCCAGGGAGGGTTCCTGGCTGTGTTGCCCTACCTGGTGCTGGCCTGGTTGTGCTGACCAGTGTCATCTAATCTGTTGTGCTTCTGTTCCAGGGAGGGTTCCTGGCTGCTCTGCCCTACATAGTGATGGGCCTGGTTGTGCTGACCAGTGTCATCTAATCTGTTGTGCTTCTGTTCCAGGGAGGGTTCCTGGCTGCTCTGCCCTACATAGTGATGGGCCTGGTTGTGCTGACCAGTGTCATCTAATCTGTTGTGCTTCTGTTCCAGGGAGGGTTCCTGGCTGCTCTGCCCTACATAGTGATGGGCCTGGTTGTGCTGACCAGTGTCATCTAATCTGTTGTGCTTCTGTTCCAGGGAGGGTTCCTGGCTGTGTTGCCCTACCTGGTGCTGGCCTGGTTGTGCTGACCAGTGTCATCTAATCTGTTGTGCTTCTGTTCCAGGGAGGGTTCCTGGCTGCTCTGCCCTACCTGGTGCTGGCCTGGTTGTGCTGACCAGTGTCATCTAATCTGTTGTGCTTCTGTTCCAGGGAGGGTTCCTGGCTGCTCTGCCCTACATAGTGATGGGCCTGGTTGTGCTGACCAGTGTCATCTAATCTGTTGTGCTTCTGTTCCAGGGAGGGTTCCTGGCTGCTCTGCCCTACATAGTGATGGGCCTGGTTGTGCTGACCAGTGTCATCTAATCTGTTGTGCTTCTGTTCCAGGGAGGGTTCCTGGCTGCTCTGCCCTACATAGTGATGGGCCTGGTTGTGCTGACCAGTGTCATCTAATCTGTTGTGCTTCTGTTCCAGGGAGGGTTCCTGGCTGTGTTGCCCTACCTGGTGCTGGCCTGGTTGTGCTGACCAGTGTCATCTAATCTGTTGTGCTTCTGTTCCAGGGAGGGTTCCTGGCTGCTCTGCCCTACATAGTGATGGGCCTGGTTGTGCTGACCAGTGTCATCTAATCTGTTGTGCTTCTGTTCCAGGGAGGGTTCCTGGCTGCTCTGCCCTACATAGTGATGGGCCTGGTTGTGCTGACCAGTGTCATCTAATCTGTTGTGCTTCTGTTCCAGGGAGGTTCCTGGCTGCTCTGCCCTACATAGTGATGGGCCTGGTTGTGCTGACCAGTGTCATCTAATCTGTTGTGCTTCTGTTCCAGGGAGGGTTCCTGGCTGTGTTGCCCTACCTGGTGCTGGCCTGGTTGTGCTGACCAGTGTCATCTAATCTGTTGTGCTTCTGTTCCAGGGAGGGTTCCTGGCTGCTCTGCCCTACATAGTGATGGGCCTGGTTGTGCTGACCAGTGTCATCTAATCTGTTGTGCTTCTGTTCCAGGGAGGGTTCCTGGCTGCACTGCCCTACATAGGGATGGGCCTGGTTGTGCTGACCAGTGTCATCTAATCTGTTGTGCTTCTGTTCCAGGGAGGGTTCCTGGCTGCTCTGCCCTACATAGTGATGGGCCTGGTTGTGCTGACCAGTGTCATCTAATCTGTTGTGCTTCTGTTCCAGGGAGGGTTCCTGGCTGCACTGCCCTACATAGGGATGGGCCTGGTTGTGCTGACCAGTGTCATCTAATCTGTTGTGCTTCTGTTCCAGGGAGGGTTCCTGGCTGCTCTGCCCTACATAGTGATGGGCCTGGTTGTGCTGACCAGTGTCATCTAATCTGTTGTGCTTCTGTTCCAGGGAGGGTTCCTGGCTGCACTGCCCTACCTGGTGATGGGCCTGGTTGTGCTGACCAGTGTCATCTAATCTGTTGTGCTTCTGTTCCAGGGAGGGTTCCTGGCTGCACTGCCCTACCTGGTGCTGGCCTGGTTGTGCTGACCAGTGTCATCTAATCTGTTGTGCTTCTGTTCCAGGGAGGGTTCCTGGCTGCACTGCCCTACCTGGTGATGGGCCTGGTTGTGCTGACCAGTGTCATCTAATCTGTTGTGCTTCTGTTCCAGGGAGGGTTCCTGGCTGCACTGCCCTACCTGGTGCTGGCCTGGTTGTGCTGACCAGTGTCATCTAATCTGTTGTGCTTCTGTTCCAGGGAGAGTTCCTGGCTGCGTTGCCCTGGTGATGGGCCTGGTTGTGCTGACCAGTGTCATCTAATCTGTTGTGCTTCTGTTCCAGGGAGGGTTCCTGGCTGCACTGCCCTACCTGGTGATGGCCTGGTTGTGCTGACCAGTGTCATCTAATCTGTTGTGCTTCTGTTCCAGGGAGGGTTCCTGGCTGCACTGCCCTACCATGTGATGGCCTGGTTGTGCTGACCAGTGTCATCTAATCTGTTGTGCTTCTGTTCCAGGGAGAGTTCCTGGCTGCGTTGCCCTGGTGATGGGCCTGGTTGTGCTGACCAGTGTCATCTAATCTGTTGTGCTTCTGTTCCAGGGAGGGTTCCTGGCTGCGTTGCCCTACCATGTGATGGCCTGGTTGTGCTTACCAGTGTCATCTAATCTGTTGTGCTTCTGTTCCAGGGAGGGTTCCTGGCTGCTCTGCCCTACATAGTGATGGGCCTGGTTGTGCCGACCATTGTCATCTTATCTGTTGTGCTTCTTTTCCAGGGAGGGTTCCTGGCTGCTCTGCCCTACCTGGTGATGGGCCTGGTTGTGCTGACCAGTGGTCATCTTGCAGACATTATGCGTGGGCCACTCGGGGTCTCCACTGGCATTGTCAGAAGGATATTTACCTGTGGAGGTAAGCTTGGGACAGTAGTTTAGCAGCCCTGTGTAAGATGGAGCACCTGAGTGTGTTTTTCACCACATTTAAGCTCCTCTGCCTCCACAACTGGTTTTCCCAACCTCTTGCTTATGATGGACAAAGACTTTGTTCCTGATTTACCTCCTCTATACCCCTGAGGTTTTTTTCTGACATGATTGGATGATAGTGAGGTGAGGTGAGGTGAAATTGGGTTTAACGTCGCGTCCAAGATTATTGCACTTCTATAGCGACGTGCATGCACGTGTGTGTGTGGCTGCTTGTACTAGTCTGGACTAATGCCGATTTATAGTGCTAGCCCACTGAGATACCATGCCGCAGTTTAACATGAATACCCCACTCAGACACAGTATACTGACTCCGAGCCGACCAGTCCTTGTTTTTGCCCCTTAATGCTGAGCGCCAGACAGGGTAACAACAAGTACCATCTTTTAACGTCTGTGGGTATGACGCGGCCGGGGATCGAACTCAGGACCTTCCGCTCTCCGGGTGGACGCTCTACCCCTATGCCACGGAGGCGGTCGGATGATAGTGAAGGCAAAGGTCACTCTGTATGAACTGAGGCAGGAGAACAGCTTGTGTAAAAGGCTACATAAGTGTTTGGAATTTGATTAAACATGGTATACATGATCTCTAATGTGGGGTCTCGATCGCATGAATGTTTGGGTGACCTCAAGAGTAGGTAAAGGTCACTAGGGGTCAAATTATAAAACAGGGGTTTAAATTTCATGACATTTTGGATTAATTGATGAAAAGTCAGTGTTATCATTTAAAATTAACTCTAAGTAGCTAATTCAACGCATATGATATGTCATGATTGTGCCAAATGCCAAGGTCAAGTACATTGTAGTCACGTTTTATTTACCCAGCAGTTAAGAACGGACTATCGCGATGGCGTTCGTACAATGTTTGCCCCTCACTCTATGAAGATTCATACTCCAGTGAACTCACACAAAAGTGAAAGTCAGTGCGTGTATTTTTTTTAATCACACAATGGGTAGGTTTCTCTGCAGGATAAAGCCAACGGATAAAAACGATATCCGTTGGGGTCATATGCGGATAGAGATGCAAATATCAAAGGTCAAGTAGGGACTACTTTCAGTGTTTATAAACAAACATGGCGTCCCCCTCGTAATTCGGCAATCGAGTCAGAATTAACCGTTGGGAATCTGGATTAACTACGAGGATAATTGCTATCATTATCAAAAGAACAGTCTAATATACTGAAAATCAGTGTCTAACTGTGACGTAGCTAAGGCATTTTATAAATTTTGGTAATTTTGGAGATATAAATTTCGAAACAATTTTGCGAGGGCACGAGGCCTAGTCAAGCGGGATCAGTAGCCATATCTGTGCTTGTAGACCTGCGGCTTGAAACCTTCTCCATAAATTAAAATAGTTGGATTTGGCCGAAAGATGTTTGAATTGTTACCTTGTTTCGTTTTGTCGCTGTGTGTACATCTGACTACACTTCTTAACGTTATGACAGGACAGACCGACAGTCAACAACGTCTGACCGTGGCCGTGACGTCTCATAGACTAGGGTTAGAGTAGCTTCCCTTTGACAAAGGGCAGTTACTCTAGCGGACAGACTGATGGATTGCCACTAAAGACAAATAAAAACTATTGTTGTTTTGCGTATATGTTGCTTCGCCACTGTATAAGAAACAGATTTCAGTTGGAACTATATTGGCTACTGTCACTGTCCGACTGACACATCACTTACCCTTTGACGTAATAAATATTATTGAGCGCATTCCAGAAAAACTCGCAATGTTTCGGTAATGTGTGAGAGAGGGAAAGTGATTTTGAAGCACAGAATTAAAGAATGACATTATATGATAAAGAGGTTTATCACGCTTGTGTGTTTGGGGATGGTAAATATCCTGTATTAGGAATAAACACTAGGCTCGCTAAATACAAAGTTTATTTACCATCCCCAAACACACTCGCGTGATAACCTTTATATATCACTATTTTTGTACCTCAAAAGGACGTAGACCATACACAAGTTCATGTTCTCACAGACAGCCACACAACGACCAGCTGTGTCGCGGAATAAAATAGTTGATACCTTGATGCCTTTTTTGCAGCATTTGCTATCCAGGCTGTGTTTATGATAGCGGCTGGCTATCTGATGACACCAGTGGCTGGGATGACGTGTCTGACCATCGCAGTTGGTCTAGGGGGATTCGCCTGGTCTGGGTTCAGTGTCAACCATCTTGACCTTGCCCCACAGTATGCCAGCATCCTAATGGGGCTCTCCAACACCTTCGCCACCATCCCGGGAATTGTCAGCCCCAGCCTCACCAGTGCCATTGTGACCAGCAAGGTAGGTGCAGTTGTCTCCCTTTGTCGAAATACATGATTGTCTCACTGGCATGCATTGCCAAGCTCAACAGTCAAAGTGAGATGATGGCATGGCAGGTTGCCCGTTATTGTTATACATTCGTCTTCTTCTCCAGACTTCTGAATGATCCGCAGGGTGGTCGGGTAGCCTAGTGGTTAGTCCGTCAAGCTGAAGACCCGGGTTCATTTCCCGATATGGGTAAAATGTGTGAAGCCCATTTCTGGTGTCCCCCGCCGTGTTATTGCTGGAATATTGCAAAATGCAGCATAAAACCAAAACTCACTCACTCTGAATGAAGAAAAAAAAACGTAAAGATTTATTAACTACATGAAACCTGAAAAAAATATTTTTTGTTATATATTTTAATGTGAAAGAGTTTTTTCGAAGTTGAGATAAGTGATATTTCATTGCAGTGAACATAACACTTGATATTGCACTGCAGTGAACTAGGGCTGGGACGAGTCCAAATTTACTACCCGGGTACGCACCACGCTATTACCCGACCCTACCTGGATACCCGCTATATGTCTCGAGACTTGGGTGTAAAAAGTCCGATTGGGAATAGCTTGACTGTAACCCTGGTAAAATGTATTTAGATACACGTATTAAACGATCTGGTCATGCATACACTGAAGTTTTATCTTTATTCAAACCTAAGTTTAGAAGCTAAGGAATGGGTGCATAGGCAGGAAGAAATGCGAACATTAGCGACTTGTATTGTAACCATAGGGTTTTAGATATATCACGTGACTAATTTCATGACGATAATGTTTTTTAAAACTTTTGTTGATATTTTTAAAGATTTTCCTCCACCTGCCCAACCGTCTCGCAGATACATTTTATTCAGTTTTATTTTAACACCTTATAGATTCTCAAGTAATTGTTTGCATTATTTCAATTTGTCTCTTATTTTTCATGATTGTTCAATATTTATAATGTCTGAATGCGGGCAGGTAATTTTGAAGATGGGCTGGCAACATTTATGGGTCACCTGCCCAACTGTCTTGTTGGGTTTCAAAATTATTTCAGACACTGATTTGAGTAGCATTATCTTTAGAAGTGGTCTACTCGTTAAGTTAGGATGAGATATTTGGATGAACAACTTCTTTATTACAATTAGGAGCGACGTTTCAGTGTAGGTTCTAACACTGCATCAAGCAAGTGATATACAGAGTGTGGTTAACAAGCATATACAGGTATGACGCAGTGTTTATACAGCTGAGTAGATTGGGATGGGGGTGCACGGGTGGCCCAGTCGTCTAAGGCGGCGTGATTCGCTGTGCAGAGTTGCGTCCCTTGGGCACGCCACAAACCTATGATTGTGGGTTCGAATCCTGGTTCGCCCCAATTATGTTTCTAGGTTTGTCAGCACCATACCCGTGCTCGTGGGCTTCACTGAAGTGGTAAACGTCTGAGACCTGCATCACTTCGGGCTTTCCTCCCACATTAAGCTGACACGCCGCGATATAACTGGAATAATGTTAAAAGCGGCGTTAAACCCAACTCCCTAACTCACTCACTCACCCCCTTTTGTGTATATTACAGGCTTCCCCACTACACCCCAATCTCCTCAACCGTATAAACATTGCCTCCTACCTGTATATAGAGAATCTCACCACAGTGTCTTTTGATATCTAATATATCAACACGAGTTGATAAAAGTAGAAAAACTCTAGACTTGTTGAGGAGTTTTTCCACTTTTATCAACGAGTCTGGATATATTTGATATCAAAAGGCACGAGGGTGAGATTTTATTTATAATCCAACATTCCTCCAACCTTTTCAGTTTGTAGACAGTAATAAGCAGTGTCTTGAGTGTAAAAAGTGATGGTCATTTGATTGTGACGTCATGGTTACCAGTGACATCACAATGGCCTGCAAAGCATTGTGATGCAATTTCATTGCAGTGATATCTACAATGTAGATACCGCTTGATCTCACTCATTTTTTTGCGGTTCAGTATATATTGTAAAACCTGCAACTCAAGTTGATTGTCTTGAAGTCAACATATCCAAAAGATCTATGTACAGCCCAGCCATCGATAAAAGTACTGGTATTGTTAGTTTTCTACATTAATCGTAATATGGTGAGGTGAGGTGAAATTGGGTTTAACGTCGCGTCCAAGATTATTGCACTTATATAGCGATGTGCATGTAAGTGTGTGTGTATGTGTGGCTGCTTGTACTAGTCCGGACTGATGCCGATTTATAGTGCTAGCTCACTGAGATACCATGCCGCAGTTTAACATGAATACCCCACTCAGACACAGTATACTGACTCCGAGCCGACCAGTCCTTGTTTTAGCCCCTTAATGCTGAGCGCCAGACAGGGTAACAACAAGTACAATCTTTTAACGTCTTTTTGTATGACGCGGCCCGGGATCGAACCCTGGACCTTCCGCTCTCCGGGCGGACGCTCTACCACAAGACCACGGAGGCGGTCAATCGTAATATGGAAGCATGAGAATGTGAAAAGTGTCTTTTGATATCAAGTTGATTAAAGTAGAAAAACTCTGAGGCTTGCTGAGGAGTTTTTTATCACTTTTATCAAAAAGTGTTGATATATTTTATAACAAAAGACACGAGGGAGAGCTTTTATTTATAATCCAACATCATTCCTCCAAACTTTTCAGTTTGTAGACAGTAATAAGCAGTGTCTTAAGTGTAAAAAGTCCTGCCAACAGTTTGAGTAGCAGAGCCATTAGTGATGTCATTTGAGTGTGACGTCATGGTAACCAATGGCGTCACAATGGTCTGCAAAGCATTGTGATGCAATTTCATTGCAGCGATCTCACCCAAGCATATCACCTGTGGGAGCCAGTTTTGTTTGATAAATATGCTTGTCAACCATACTCTGTTCGTCACTTGCTCGATAGAGGTGTTAGAAGAAACACCGACACGTCGCTCCTAATTGCAATAAAAAAGTTGTTCATCCATATATCTTATCCTTACTTAGTACTCCAACTTCTAAATGCCTCTCAAAGAAGTTTGAAGGTCTACTCATTGGTTTGAAAATACTCCACTATACTGGACCGAAGAAAGTAAAACAATAAATGCCTAAAGAAAACTGTCTCTGCCCATGATGACATGGAGTAAATACTCAATGGCTGGAAACCTTGTCTGGAACCGTGCATGCTGATGAAGTAATATATAATCACTGAAATGGTTTCCAGGACAACGCTGGCCAGTGGCAGATCATCTTCTATCTGGCGGCTGCTGTGTATGGCGGCGGCGCTATCATATATGGAATCCTGGCAGGCGGGGAGAGGCAGAAGTGGGCGGAGCTTCCCCTGGGGTACCAGCCTCATCTTGATGACCCAGAGAAGGACCAGTAGGCGGCAGTAGTCAGAACCAGGTATCGGTCCTGGGTATTGGTTGGCAGAAGTCAGAGCCAGGAATCCATTCCAGGAATCAGTTCCAAGTATTGGTGGCAAGAACTGGTGCCAGGAATCCAGCCTAGGAATTGGTTCCAAGTATCGGTGCCAAGAACTGGTGTCAAGAATCCATTCCAGGAATCAGTTCAAAGTATCGGTGCCAGAAACTGGTGCCAGGAATCCATTACAGAAATCGGTTCCAAGTCTTGGTGCCAAGAACTTGTGCCAGGAATCAATTCCAGGAATCGGTTACAAGTCTTGGTGCCAAGAACTGGTACCAGGAATCCATTCCAGGAATTGGTTCCAAGTCTTGGTGCCAAGAACTGGTGCCAGGAAACCATTCCAGGAATCAATTCAAAGTCTTGGTGCCAAGAACTGGTGCCAGGAATCCATTCCAGGAATTGGTTCCAAGTATCAGTGCCAAGAACTGGTGTCAGTAATCAATTCCAGGAATCAGTTCCAAGTATCAGTGCCAGAAACTGATACCAGGAAACCATTCCAGGAATCAGTTCCAAGTATCGGTGCCAGAAACTGGTGCCAGGAATCCATTCCAGGAATCTGTTCCAAGTCTTGGTGCCAAGAACTGGTGCCAGGAAACCATTCCAGGAATCAGTTCCAAGTCTTTGTGCCAAGAACTGGTGCAAGGAAACCATTCCAGGAATCAGTTCCAAGTATCGGTGCCAGAAACTGGTGCCAGGAATCCATTCCAGGAATCGGTTCCAAGTCATGGTGCCAAGAACTGGTGCCTGGAATCCATTCCAGGAATGGGTTCAAAGTCTTGGTGCCAAGAACTGGTGCCTGGAATCCATTCCAGGAATCGGTTCCAAGTATCAGGCCAAGAACTGGTGCCAGGAAACCATTCCAGGAATCAGTTCAAAGTATCGGTGGCAGGAACTGGTGCCAGGAATCCATTTGGGAATCAGTTCCAAGTCTTGGTGCCAGGAAACCATTCCAGGAATCAGTTCCAAGTATCGGTGCCAGGAACTGGTGCCAGGAATCCATTCCAGGAATCGGTGCCAGGAATTGGTTCCAAGTATCTGTGCCAGGAATCCATTCCAGGAATCAGTTCCAAGTATCGGTGCCAGGAACTGGTGCCAGGAATCCATTCCAGGAATCGGTTCCAAGTATCGGTGCCAAGAATTGGTGCCAGGAAACCGTTCCAGGAATATGTGCCTTGAATCAGTTCCAGGAATGGGTTCCAAGTATACACTTCCTTCTTTGAAAACAGTGGACTGAAATGTGATAAGCTAATCCACAATTTGGTACGCTACCTTATACACAATGCCTGGAGTGTTTCTTTGAGTGACAAATCAAAGCGTTGCTTCCCTTGCATTGTCTTCGTACTGTGTAAACTATGGATATGTTTTATTTTTGTTTAGTTTAAAATTAGAAAAAGGAAAGAACAAGATGTAATGAGGTCCCTTTTGGTTCATCGAGATCTGCATAAAAGTTGAATTTGTTGATTATTTGTTGATTCTGCAGAAAACAGAACATAGGCTCACCGTCAGCCATTAGAACATGTGTGAAAAACTTCATGTCTGTAATTCAATTTGACATGTCCCATGGGCCCACCTATGTTGTCCTTTACCCGTTCTTCAGTGATTCATTCTACTGCTGTGAAATACTGGTATCTGTCAAGCAAGAAGTTGGACTCCTCCTGCTGATCCAATATTTTCTGGAACAAAAATTCTTTAAAAAAAAAATATCAAACCCACCTGTCACATCCACAGACACCTGTCATATCCAGACCCTCGTCACCTCCACCGACACCTGTCATATCCACAGACCCACCTGTCACATCCACAGACACCTGTCATATCCAGACCCTTGTCATATCCACAGACACCTGTCACATCCACAGACACCTGTCATATCCACAGACCCTTGTCATATCCACAGACACCTATTGGACCCACAGACCCTCGTCATATCCACAGACACCTGTCATATCCACAGACCCACCTGTCACATCCACAGACACCTGTCATATCCAGACCCTTGTCATATCCACAGACACATGTCACATCCACAGACACCTGTCATATCCACAGACCCTTGTCATATCCACAGACACCTATTGGACCCACAGACCCTTGTCATATCCACAGACACCTGTCATATCCACAGACACCTGTCATATCCACAGACACCTATTGGACCCACAGACCTACCTGTCACATCCACAGACACCTGTCATATCCACAGACACTTGTCAGATCCAGACCCTCGTCATATCCACAGACAAATGCCATATCCAGAAACCTATCATGTCCAGAAACTTGTCATATCAAGAAACTTGTCATATCCTGATTCTTGGCATATCCACGGACTCCTATCATATCCACACACAACTGTCGTATCTAGAAACCTTTCATATCCACTAACACCTGTCATTTCCACTGACATCTGTCATATCCACAGACACTTCCGTCACATTCCACATATTCCACATTCCACAGGTTCAACATTCATCAGGTTTCACATCACATTCCACAGGTTCCAAATTACATTCCACAGGTTCCACATTCCACAAGTTCCACATTCCACAGGTTCCACATTCCACAAGTTCCACATTCCACAAATTCCACAGGTTCAACATTCATCAGGGTTTCACATCACATTCCACAGGTTCCACAGTTCCCATGTCCACAATCCACATTCCACAGGTTCCACATCACAGTCCACAGGTTCCACATTCCCCAGGTTCCCCAGTTCCCATGTCCACATTCCACAGGTTCCACATTCCACAGTTGCTCCAGTATTATTACAAGTCAGCTTGTGATGGCCAAGGAATTTGCTTGGCAGCATTGTGTCCCAGGGCGTGCCAGGACCCTGATTATGTTTTAGGTTTTTAAGCACCATACTCATGCTAATTCGTTTGCCGATATGTTAAATACGGACATTAGACTGACAGGCTGTGATGTACTGCTCAAAGCAGTATTAAACTGAACTCACTCACTCACCCACTGCTGCATCATGTCTGCTGTGGTGGTCCGGTTTTCGGGGAAGCTGCAATTAGTTCTGCAGAAATGTGTCCCTTAAGCACTTTGGAATCCATGAGTATCGACCTACGCAATTGGGATATACTGACATACATTAACCAGGTCAGCGAGTCTGAACACCCGATCCCGTGAGTCGCTTCTCATGACAAGCATAGTCGCCATTTACAACAAGCATAGTCGCCATTTACAACAAGCAGAGTCGCCTTTTACAACACGCATAGTCGCCATTTACAACACGCATAGTCGCCATTTACAAGCATAGTCGCCATTTAAAACAAGCAGAGTCGCCTTTTACAACAAGCATAGTCGCCATTTACAACAAGCATAGTCACTTTTTATGAGGTCTTTGGAATGAGTGTTTGTCACATTCTAAAATCTAGTCATGTTACTTCAACTACTAGTTTGAAATGAGATGTTGTCAAGTTGGATTTAACTCTTTGTCTGCAAATGTGCTGCATGGAGAAGTACCCGAAAACTTGACCATAATTCAAATGTGATCTATATGATGCTAATATAACTATTTTTGAACTGGTTGTCAACATTAACTGCCATTATTTTTTTGTGATATATATTTAGTCCCCTCTGGTGCAGATATGTCTAGTCACCCAGTGCTCAAGGTTATTGCATATTGTATTCTAATAACAGTCACTTGTTGTTATATTGTATTTGTTGTTTATTATTACTCAGTATTTTGAATAAAAAATGTTTGACTTTTGTGGCTGTTCATGAATGTTGGTGTTGTGTGGTAAGTCTGTAAGAAAGATCAAATATATGTACATGTATATTTTACACTTATAATGCATTTGAGATTTCTACTGGAGAATTCTCTTTTTTGTTTACATGAGTATATAAATTGCAAGTGATTCTGTGCCTAATCAAGCAATTTGTTTTCCGTTTATGTCCCCATATACAAAAAAGGCCACACGTCAACAGACAACAGTTCTGTTTCCTGATTGGCTGACAACCGAATGGGCGGGGCTTGTGTTGCATTGTTGCCTTGAACGATGTCACTGATTTCGTATCGTTGTCTACCGTCTTTTGTGTATTTATGATTATGTAATCTGTCTGTGAAGTTATTGTTGACATATTTATAAGAATTGACTTTTATATGTTTTTGCGTTTATGGAAGTATAACTATTAAACCCAGTGTGTGGATTTACACAATAAACAACTTTTTACATTTATGGCTTTATAAACGCGGAAAATATTGAAGTCAGTTTTTAATTAAAACAATCACATTTTTGGTGGAACAAAACCAGTGGAGCAAAACTGTATATAAAACTCAGAAGTTGGCCATTAAATGGAGCACATTCTTTAAGTCATTTGAATTTTAATCATGTCAAGATTTATTGTTTTCAACCTTCTTAATTTACGAAAAAAATTACCAAATGATTATTTTTGTGGCCTAATGTTGATTTTTTTAAAGTCAATATTTCAGTTAAGTACTCAAATGGACCATCACTCAAGTGCATGAACTAATATTTAATTATTTTTTAATGAAATGTTCTATTTGAACGATATATGAAAAACCCTCTAAATTCCATGTAGTGTCTGAGTAAGAACACCATCAATACCTGCACTAGTGTTTACACTGTATTGTACCCAGTCATCTCCCCCTTGTCTGACGTGTTCTGTCAGTATGGCCTTGACCAGATGGAAAGTCATAAAGAGTTGGAATGTTCCAATCTCTTTTCATTTGGGGGGCACGGGTGGCCAAGTCGTCTAAGTCGCTCTTCCCTGTGCAGAGTTGCGTCCCTTGGGCACGCCAGAAACCTATGATTTGGGGTTCGAATCCCGGTTCGCCCTGACTATGTTTGTCAGCACCATACCCGTGTTCGTTGGTTTCACCGAAGTGGTAAAAGTCCGAGACCTGCATCACTTCGGGCTTTCCTCCCACATTAAGCTGACACGCCGCGATATAACTGGAATACTGTTAAAAGCGGCGTTAAACCAAACTCACTCA